GATGTAGCTGCCAAGATAGATAAAACTGTCAACTTGCTTTAGTTGAAGTCCACTAATGGATATGCTAGGGGATATGGCAGAGAGCGGTGAAGATGATTGGTGCAACACCACAGTTTTCTCCAGGATGATAGTGAGGCCAAACAATTTTGATGCTTCAGCGACGTGATCTATGATGCACTGGAGATCTCCCTCTGTGTGTGCTAAGAGGGCCCAATCATCCGCAAAGATTGCCTCTCTTAGTAGTAGTTCAGTTAGTTTTGTTTTTGCTTTAAGCCTTGTAAGATTGAAGACTGAGCCGTCGTGTCTGTATCTGATGTATATACCTCTGTTGAGCCCATCTGGAGCATAGTTGAGAACTTGAGTGAAGAAGAGGTTGAATAGTACAGGGGCAAGGACACAGCCTTGTTTGACTCCATTTGAATGGGAAAGGAGTCAGTGAGATCTCCATTAAAAAGTACCTAACCTTGCATCCCCTCATGGAAATAAACATGATCTTTACAAATTTTGGTGGGCAACCAAGTTCGCTGAGGATCATCCATAATCCTTCTCCATTGACTGTATCAAATACTTTTGTTAGATTGTTGAAAACACTGAACAGATTCATGTTTTGTTCGATACATTTTTCTTGTATTTGCCTGATACTGAAAGTCATGTCTTTGGTGCTACGACCAGGTCTGAATCCGCACTGAATCTCCGGTAGATTGGCTTCTGAGACAGATGAAGTCGGTCGGTTCAGGAGGACACGAGCAAAGATTTTTCCAGTGACAGATAGGAGAGAGATCCCACAGTAGTTATCACAGACCATTTTGCTGCCTTTATTTTTAAATCTAGGAATAACTGTGGCATCTTTTGAAGTCTTGTGGCATTTCTTCACTGTCCCAGATGTCAGTAAGGATCTTCTGGAGTGTATTCCATCTCTGCCCGAGGACTTCCCTGAGCTCATCGAACTGATTGCCTTTTCTGTTTCTTCAAGTGAGGGTGGTGAGTCAGTGTGGTGCTGAATAGGATTTCGAGGTATCTGATTAATAGCACTTCTTTCAATTGAGGATGGACTGTTCAGTAGTTGGCTGAAATGTTCAACCTATCTCTGTTCCATGCCCTGTTTGTCTTTGACTCTCCTGCCATCAGCCATCATGAGTGAACCTGTGCCCACCTTTGAACGTCCATAGACTAGCTTCAAGGAATCAAAGAACTTTTGTTTCATTTTGTTTCTGCATACATTTGAGTGTCTTTTGCTACCTTCTCCCACCATTTATCTTGTATCAAGAGTAGTTGTCTTTGTGCCTTGCTTTGCAGATGTTTAAATCTCTCTTTCTGAGGTGGACTGAATATAATTTTGCCGTATTTGGAAAGCCTCATTTTTTTTCCTTTCAAGAGTAGAATCATAGAATGGGAGGGGACCTCGAGAGGTCCTCTAGTCCAGTCACCTGCACTCATGGCAGGACTAGTTATCTAGACCATTCCTGACAGATGTTTGTCTAACCTGCTCTTAAAAAATCTCCAATGATGGAGATTCTACAACCTCCCTAGGCAATTTATTCCAGTGCTTAACTATCCTGACAGGAAGTTTTTCCTAATGTCCAATCTAAGCCTCCCTTGCTGCAACTTAAGTCCACTGCTGCTTGTCCTATCCTCAGAGGTTAAGAAACAATTTTTCTTCCTCCTCCTTGTAACAACCTTTTACTTGTTTGAAAACTGTTATCATGTCCCCTCTGTCTTCTCTTTTCCAGGCTAAACAAACCCAATTTTTTTCAATCTTCCCTCATAGGTCGTGTTTTCTAGACCTTTAATAATTTTTGATGCTCTTCTCTGGACTCTCTCCAATTTGTTCATATCCTTCCTGAAATGTGGCTCCCAGAACTGGACATAATAGTCCAGTTGAGGCCTAATCAGAGTGGTGTAGAGTGGAAGAATTACTTCTCATGTCTTGCTTACTACCCTCCTGGTAGTATTGTGATTTCCTCCTCATTTTCATCAAACCAGTCACGGTGAGCCCTTTTCTTCCATCCAATGACTTATGACAACAATCTATAACCCACTAACCCACCTTTGTCCTATGACTGCAGCGGTATTAATTGCTCACTTAATCTTAAATGTTTTCCCTGCAAAATGTGTTTACCTCACGGGTAGTCAGTAGGCGGACCGCAAGCCAAATCCGGGCCATCAGATGCTTTTGAATGGCCCCTGAAATCTTTATTTACATATTATTTTTTTTTTTTCCTCTGGAGTCTGGACCTTGACTATAGCTTGGTCAAGAAATTTGGACCTTAAACAAAAAATAAAATTGACTACCCCGTTTTATCCCTTTTGTTAAATAATCTGACCTGAGGAAGAGCTCTGTGTAGCTCGAAAACTTGTCTTTCACCAACAGAAATTGGTTTAATCAAAGATGTTATTTCATCCACCTTGTGTGTGTCGTGCTTTTTAAAGCTTCCGACCACAACCTGCTGCATTTGCAACTTTCTGAGAGTCCTATAATTTATTAGTTTCAGAAATTGGTAATATTCTACGTCTGCTATGTATGTCATTTGATATATACCATTAGCTTTAACATCTTATAAACAGCTGTGGGAGAAAAACGAGTCCTCACTCTGAGGTTGGTTGCAACATGTCAGAGGCAGTTTATTCTCAAGCAATATTGCAAGGGGGAGAATGCACAACAGCAGGTCTCCCAAAAGATAAACAATTAGGGCAAGCATTTATACCTTTTGTTACATACAGTAATGATCAACAACTGCATTTTGTTTATACATATTCCTTCCTGATATCTTACTTTCCTCAGCAATTTCTGCTACAGTCTCTGTTCCATTCTTATCTAACACAAGGTCGAAAAACAGCATCTCTTACAGTTCTTTTCAACTCGCCCAGGCCCTGCTTGGAAGTTTCGTATTATTAGCTGTTAGAGTTAGCCTGACTCTTGCTCTTCCTGTAAGACTAAGGGCTGGTCTACACTGGGGGGGGGGGAAATCGATCCAAGATACGCAACTTCAGCTACGCAAATAGCGTAGCTGAAGTCGAAGTATCTCGGATCGAATTACCTGGGGTCCACACGGCGCGGGATCGACGGCCGCGGCTCCCCCGTCGACTGCGCTACCGCCGCTCGCTCTGGTGGAGTTCCGGAGTCGACGGTGAGTGCGTTCGGGGATCGATATATCGCATCTTAACGATACATGATATATCGATCCCGGATAAATCGATTGCTACCTGCCGAAACGGCGGGTAGTGAAGTCGTACCCTAAGATGTCTGCTCTTTTTACAACTTCCACACAGCTGAGCAGCATCCAGTTGTAACATTAGAGATTTCAGTTGCTGTAATGCTTATCCGCAGCAAAAGTTTCAAGTTCTGCAGAAGGTATATAGGCTTTGTACAATACTTATACACTGCTACCTTGATATAACGCGACCCAATATCATACGAATTCGGATATAACACAGTAAAGCAGTGCTCCAGGGGGGCGGGGCTGCGCACTCTGGTGGATCAAAGCAAGTTCAGTAAACCATGGTTTCACCTGTAACACGGTAAGATTTTTTTGGCTCCCGAGGACAGCGTTATAGCGAGGTAGAGGTGTATTAGCTGGTGCATCCTGATCCAGAACAGATGTCCAGAGAACCATAACTTATTTCTGAAAAACAGAATATGATGGTGTTTTCAACTTCGTGTGTTATCTCATAAGAACAGTATAGTAACTTCAACAGTTTTTAATTCTGTGAAAGTGCCAGTAAAAAATGTTCTCCAGATGTGTTGTGGATACTGCAGACTTAAAAACTGTAGTCATGCTGCTTTGACAGTAGCCAAAATAATTCCTTGACTCCTTGATTATACAGGATTGCTATTCTTAATTGTATAGTGTTTGGCTATGATTACTACATTCTTTAACCATATTTGGGAAAGTGTAAATCCGTAAATTACCTTGGAAGAATTCTTCTTTAGTCTGCTCTAGGGCTGCTTCCACATAATTTCTCCCTTTTTCTTCCCTCATGACTTGATAGATGAGTGTGGTTCTAGTATTAGTGAGTGTCTGTGCCTAGCTTTTACTATTTAGATTTAAACTAAACTGTCACCATAACAATTAGAGTGCTGTTGCCATTCATGGTATCACATGCACAAGAATAAGACCAGTCAAAGTTAATAATCCAGAGGGAGCTCTGCCACTTCATACTGTAGCTGCTCATACGTTTGTTCTTTTTCAGGAATCGATAGCAGATACAATGAAGGCTGTAGGGAGCTGGCCAACTACCTTCTCTTTGGTTTGTATAACCAGAATAACAACGACTTTGAGAAAACTGGGTTTCCTGAAGAAGTTCTTGATGGTGAGTAATATAATGTTAAGCATTGTATTTGCACACTTGCTTGTCAATGTCTAGGGCCCTACCAAATTCACGGCTATGAAAAAGGCGTCATGGACTGTGAAATCTGGTGGTTCCTCCTCCTTCCCCCCCCCCCCCAGGGGTGTGCTTTTACTCTCTACTATACAGAATTCAAGGGGGAGACCAGCCTTTCTCAAATTTTCTTTGAGTGATCTCTATAATGCAGTACGACCCCTCAAGAGTAATATCATACTAGAACAAATATGTCTGTTTATACAATATTATGTAAAGTGCTCAACATAATGACATATTTTTTCAAAGCATGTGGTGAGACAAGCCTGCAGATAACAGGTTAGAATAGTCATAACTGTGTTGCTGAGAGAGAAAGTAATGTGGTTTTTTTTTTCCCCCCTCCAAAAATGGGTAGCTGTATTAAGTGAAAGTGGGATTGATCTAGTAACATTTTCCATCATGCATTTCTGTTATGCTTTGCAGATTTTTTTTTTTAATTGGGTACTTGTAGGAAAAATTTTCCTGTCCAATTCTTTATCTACACAGAAATCTATAATTTAGATTTCTAGTTAAGTTTGTAGCTATGAAGTTAATGTAGTAATCTCTGATTTGACTCTTGTTTTGGTTATTGCAGATGTAATCATATTAATAAAACCTGACAGTGTCCATCTGTACTGTAACCCTGTAAACTACAGTTATCTTTTGCCATATGTGGCATACTGGAGAAACTTGCATTTCCATTGCCTGACTGAAAATGAGGTAAGTGAAGGCAGAATAAGTATAGTTATAGTAATCAGGGAGGGTGAGGTGCTCTGCTAGCAGTTGAGGTGTGAACACCAAGGGAGGAGAAACTGCTTGGTGTTCACACCTCAACTGCTAGCAGAGCACCTCACCCTCCCTGATTGAACTAACCTCGTTATCTCCATACTGATTTATACCTGCCTCTGGAAATTTCCATTACTTGCGTCTGATGAAGTGGGCGTTCACCCACAAAAGCTTATGCTCCAATACTTCTGTTAGTCTTAAAGGTGCCACAGGACCCTCTGTTGCTTTTTACAGATTCAGACTAACATGGCTACCCCTCTGTTACTAATTGAAATGTTACGTTGATAGTCTAATTACTAAAGTCGCCATAAATGTAACCTTTTTTCCCTCTTCTGTAGCTTTTGAGGTGACTCTCAAAAATTTTCAGTTAAAAATAGTTATTCTCATTGATCACAACCTAACTGATCTCTGTCACGGAAGTCTGATGTGACTGCTGATACTGTCAGCTGCTTTCTTTTTCCAGGGCTACAGGGGAGCAAATGAGCATAGTGGGAAGTGCAAAATTATCAGTCTGACAACTTGGGCTGCAGTTTCATTCCAGAGGGCTGTAGTTTGTCAAAGGGGAATTCCAGTCTGATAGAACTGGGGAAGCCCAGGAGATTTAGCTGTTTGCCTCAACTGCAAAAGGTGGCTGGATAGTGTGGGGTGAGAGGAATTCGGGGTAGAGAAGGAGTATGGTTAAAGGAGGAGGCACAGAAGCTGGAGAACAGGTTGAGTAGTGGAGGTTCTCAATACTTACTTGTAACTTGCAGTTGGTGGAGAGAAGCAGAGCCACTGTATGTCCTGTCTTCACTCCCCAACCCCTACTTATTACATATATTTAGATTTATAACAAAAGAGATATAAAAGCTATGAGGTATATTTTGTATACTACTCTAGCTGTGTTTGATAGAAACTTTAGAATAGAATATAAGCATCCAACTAAAATAAGCAGCTTGCCCACAAGCCAAAACATCTGTAACAAAATTTAAATGTTGACCCTCATCAGACTTGCCGGGTGCCTGGAAAGTCAACACACCCAGGCTATTCCAAACCATAGCAGTAGGTTCCAAAGCTGAGGGCCCCGTGCTAATTAATAGTAATCATTAATCATGCACAGCATCACGAATGTGCTGTGCAATTAGAAATATTTTAATATGTTTAAGAAGATAAAGTGGGTTTGAAAAATCTGCTTACTTTGCTATTCTCTGATTAGATTCGTTGTGTGTGGTCTGCTCTGGCTAAGTATTAATGAAATCTCATGATGCTGATTCAAACTGCTGATTATGAACAGAAAGATGAGCCAAATGCCCTAATATATTTGAAGTGTATAATGAAATAAACTGAAAATTCTGAGGTTCCTTGTACTGTAAAGATGCTGATTTCTGGGGTACTGCATATAAATGTCAACAAAGTGTGATAGACTTTTTTTTAAGTGCCATTTCTTCAAATGTATATGGGACTGCCAGTTTCCTAGAGAACTTCGGGCTGTTCATAGGAGCTGTGAAATCTTGTCATCCTTCAGACACCATTTTAGATTAATTCTTTCTGACAAATGATCGCCTGTGGCTGTTTGTTAAATCATTTAGTTTTCCTTTACAATGGCATACCACAGTACTGCCTATTTTTAGCTGAGCTTTTATAACAATAATAACGGCAAAGCTTTAAAAAGGAACAGAACCATGGGGCTTGTGCAGCTCTTATAGAATCTTGCAAAATTTAGTGTTCTCCGATCTTTCCACTTGGAAAGTGGAAAGATCCACTTACAGTCACTTTCCACGTTTTTGAAGTGACTACTGAACAGTGATGGAGAAGAAGTGCCCTTGAAAACATGTCTTATAAATAGCGATATAGCATAATAAAGAGACTTATTTTAAATTCTTACTTCTCACGTTTCAAAAGTATACTGACTGTATACTACATATGTGATGGAATATATTTACAATTGAACTGAAAAGCCTTAATGAGCGACCTTCCAGTGTCCCCCTGGAAACCAGGAAAGCTAGTTCCGAAGGCATTTTAAAATCTAATTTGAGTAACTGACAAAGTCACTTGGGAACAGGTTTTGAACTGAAAGAGTATGCTCCGACTCCCTCATAGATCTAAAGCAGGGTTCTCTCAACAGATTTTTTTGGTGGCCTCACAGTGTGCCCACCAGTTCTTGCTGGTGGTCACTCTGACAGTTTTTCCTAAAATACATAATTAAGTTCAGGGAAAACAAATAAATATGCACATGTACATGTCCAAATCATTGAAATTTATTCATGTAGGTTTTTTTGCAGACTGAATAATACAAATAATGTACATTTGTCTCTCTTCTTTACCGGACCCAAACAGATTAGAAACAAATAAGGTGCTTTGTATGTTCTTATCTTTTGCTTTTTTGGTTAATTGCAGTTAGTAGGTCTCTTTCTGTGGAAAGTGATATTTGTATGTTTGTTAATATCACTTTTCACAGCAGTAGACATGCTGGCTGTCTGGGAGGCAGTGTAAAGTGATATTAACAAACCTACAAATATCACTTTTCACAGCAGACTTACTCAGCTCTGGCAAGCCAGGGGACATATTAAGCCCTGAATGGGAAGGTGGGTAGGGAGGCAGCACAGGCCAGGACAATGGATGGGGGGTTGGGGAGGCAGCAAGGGCCAGGGGTGATGGGGGATGGAGATGGAGGGGTAGGGGAGACGGCGGGGGGTGAGCCCAGGGCCGGCACCTGTCACTTCACGGCTGGGGCCGAAGCCCAGTGGCCTGAGCCTAGGCCCAGTGCCCACTGCCACACAGCTGGGGGACGGAGTGTGCGGACGAAACCTGGGGCTAGAGGACACAGCAGAGGCCAAGGGCGGTGGAATGTGAGCCCAGAGCTGGCACTTGCTGCCGCGTGGCTTGAGGCCGGAGCCTGATCCCTAGGCCCTACGGCTGGAGCCCCAAACCTGCGACCATGGGATGGAGCCTGCCACCATGCAGCCAAAGCCTGGGCCCAAAGCCTGCCACCCCAGGTCTGAAGCCTGAGTCCCACTCCTCCCGGGAAGGTGGGGAACTCTCACTGGCTGCCTGCTCCTCTGACATTTGTGGCTCCAGAGGGGGGCAGGGCCCAATCCGTGCTAGCAGATCCGGGAAGGGGCCACTGCTTTGTGCCTCCCCCCTACCCCCAATCACCACCCAGGAGATTTGAGAAACACTGCCCTAAAGTGTTAGAAATAGGAAGTCTCTCTTAATCCCCCAACCATGCTACTATACGCATATATAGTAGAGGGATCAGGAAGACAAGATTATCTAGTGGCCAGAGCAGGGGAGTAGTGTTAAGAATTCTAGGTGCCATTCCCAATTCTGCTACTCATTTGCTGTGTGACTTGGTGCAAATCATTTCACCTCCCTGTTCCACTTCCATCATATGTAAAATGGTGATAACCATTTTTCTCTCTGTAATCTTCTGTAGTAAATATCTAGTAAAGAGTCCTGAGATTCTCCAAGAAAAGAATACCTTGCACTTAGAGCTCTTTCATTATTGTGTGCACGTTTCCATGCAAAAATGCCTGTTGGTCTTAACTGTCCATATTGTAGTAGGTGGGGGGCAGAGAGGCTTTCTTGAAAATTGAGAGTGAAGTATTCGTGCTTTCTCCTGCATAGCCTTGTAAAAACATGTTCACGTTTGTACTTCAGTTTTGCAAACAGTTCCCTTTGACCTTCATATGTTCATACTATGATGGCTAAAATCCCCAGAGCATAGTGGTTAAATATATAGCTTTCGAGAGCCTTTGTTACTGTATGGAATAGTGTAATATACGATCAGCATTGGTTATGCAAAATGGCAGTTGTCACCTTTATTGAAAATGTATTTTAACTGTAAAGATCTCCAGCGAGAAAATGTTAGGTTTAATAAAACTAATTTTTAAATTATTCCTGTCAGTATGAAGATGAAGAAGCTGCAGAGGAGTTTAAAATTGCCAGCTTTGTAGACATGGTTCGAGATTGTAGTCGAATCGGCATTCCTTACAGCTCCCAAGGTGGGTTAATACAGTATTACTTCATTGTTTTGGTGAATTATTTGATCATTTGTTTGTCAGAATAGAAGTATGATGTTGTAACAACAATAAGTTAAAATACCTCTGGGCGCTCCTTTTTATTGTAAGTGAGCCTGATACATTAAAATGAGATGGATAAATTATTACTTTATATCAGGATTTGGATTTCTTAGAATCTGAAACTTAAATTACTGAGATTTTTATTTTCTCTTCAGAGAAAATAGTGTGTGCGCACTCTGCATAGTGAATGCTCATAGCCTGAGGCAAAGAAATAATTTGCATGCCGGGAAAAGTGTTTGGCTAAGTACAGAAGTTCTCTGTTCTGATGGGGGCTTCAGATAAATACACTTCTGTATAAGGAAAGAATAAACTTTTTTTTATTCAAGCTTCCTGTTTTAGAACAGAAGAAATTGGACAGCATGATTTCCTGTGTGATCTGTTGCCAGACTTGCAAGCTGAACATTTTAATTTTATATTACTTCATAAATGTGTTCAGGAATGGAAACAGCATACAGTATGTGGTGCAAAAATACTGCAGTGCACTTGCTCTGTGATTGTTCTCTTTTAAAAAGAGAGCAACATACTGTTGCAGAGAAATCTTTGAGCTATGCATTTACCATAAGTCTGGCTTTCTGTTGATGGCTGGTAACCACTGTTGATAGTTATGGTTGCATTCCATATTCACCTCTGACTCTCCTTTATTTTAGTGCTCATAACTCTCATTTCTTTTGTATGAACACTTTTCTTGCTTGGTCTTGACAAAAGGTGAAATTTATTTGCAAATTTGTGCAAAGTCAGTTCAGGCAGTTTTGTGTTACGTGAATGTAGAAAATGTCTCTCTCCTATAATGTATTTTCTGATAAGAAAATTTGTACTCATAACTGAAATAGCAGAAGCTAGTAACTTTTAAACTTTTTTCTTAAATAATCATCCATCCTTAGAAGTGGAAGATGCAATAGTTTTCAAGTCATAAATATATGAAGAACCATTGTCCTAGTCTGAGTTAAGGATGCACTTTTTCTTGTAGAGTTCCTAAATTCTGCTGGACGGTAGTCACTCTCCAATTCAAGCAGTTTATAAGCTCCGCTGATAAACTTATGCACTCATCAAGCTCAATAGCTTTAATTTTTTTTCCTTATAAAACCATAGGGAATTTAGATGGGGGGAAAAATTGCATAAAGCAACATTTAGCATAAGTGACTGCTTGAGAGGAAGTTCAGAAAGTTAAGCTTTACTTCCTCTTTGGTATTTTGGGCATTTTATGATACAATGTGTCACTTATAGCAGGGGTTCTCAACTTTTTTCTTTTTGAGTCTCTCCTCCCTCCCACCCCCCAATATCCTATAAAAACTCCATGCCCCACTAGTACCCAACAACTGTTTTTCTGCATATAAAAGCCAGGGCTGGCGTTGTGGGGGTAGCAAGCAGGGCAAGTGCCTGGAGCCCCATGCCACAGGGGGCCCCGCAAAGCTAAGTTGCTCAGGCTTCGGCTTCAGCCCCACGTGGCAGGGTTCAAGGCCCTGGGCTTCAGCCCTGCACAGCGGCGCTTTGGCTTTCTGCCATGGTCCCCAGAGAGCCTAACATTGGTTCTGCTTGGCAGACCCCCTGAAATCTGCTCACGGCCCACCAGGGGCCCCTGGCTCCCTGGTTGAGATCTGCTGACTTATATTTCTGGTTTCCTTTGCTTATTTACCCTTTGCTTCATAGGCCTAAACTTCTACAAAAACATTTCAGTGTGAGTAGTCCTGTTAAGTTGAATGAGTGTAAAGTTAGCCATCTGCTGAAGTGTTTTGTGCGACTTGGACCTCAGTCTTTATCATAAATTGTAAAAGACATACAGCATGGTCTAACCACTGTTGTGGGAAAAACATTTAACATTCTGGAAATTCTGTAATACTGAATATTGTTTCTCAACTTTACCAGGTTAACTTTGCCAGGTTAACTTTTTCATGCAATTTATTTTTAGTCCACCTTCCCTCCAACCCCCCAAAAAGTATATTGGACAATTTTCCACAAGCAGAATACTGCTGTACATAAACTATTTTGCTTCTTTCTTACATATACAGTCTATATTGTAGATCTTACAGCAAGTTCTGTATTCTTCCGTTTGTATTGAAGATCAATAGATTGTTTTCTTTGGCTTTCAGTTGAACTCTGCTTTTTTGTAACAAGCACAGTGAAATATTTAAACTAGAGTAAAAGCTGTGTTATCTGGCCCTGTACCAACCGGAAAGCTCTATAAACCAGCATTTCTAATCTTCATAGAAAGTCCGATTTATAGTCTGGTTGGCGCAGGGCTGGCAGGCTCCCAACCGGGCTCCGCGTGGCTCCCCAGAAGCAGCGACATGTCCCTGCTGCTCCTAGGCGGAGGAACGGCCACGAGGGATTTAGCGTGCGCGAAGGGTTGCGGGGCTGGGGGTTGGGATGTGGGAGGGGTTGCAGGTTGCAGGCTCTGGAAGGGAGTTTGGGTGTGTGAGGGGGCTCGGGGCAGGGGGTTGGGGCGTGGAGGGAGCTTGGGGTGCTGGAGCCGGGGGGGCACTCACCTCTGGCAGCTCCCCACAAGCGGCGACCTGTCCTGGCTGCTCCTAGGTGGAGGCGCAGCAGGCGTCTCTGTGAGCTGCCTCCGCCTACAGGCGCTGCCCGTGCAGATCCCATTGGCCACGGTTCCCAGCCAATGGGAGCTGCGGAGCCCAAACTCCCTCCCTCTTAGTTAACTGGCATTTTTCACTTACTGGCACCCCCCATTCCTCCAACATGCCTGATAAATATATAAAGGAATATTTCAAGTCATTTGTTAGACCCTCAGAACAACTTTGGCACATTGTAGAAAGGTGAGATATATTAAACTGATGCTTTTATTATAGTCATTTAACATTTTTTGTGAAATATTTGATTCCTGTAGGTCATCTACAGATATTTGATATGTTCATTGTAGAAAAGTGGCCAGTAGTGCAGGCCTTTGCACTGGAGGGGATCGGTGGCGATGGCTTCTTTACCATGAAATACGAGGTATGTATTAAGCAAGTACTTCAATTTATTATCGTTAAGGCTAAGATTTTTGTCACAGATATTTTTAGTAAAAGTCAGACACCGGTCACGGGCAAAAAAGTAAAATTCACGGAAGTTGTGATCTGTCCATGACTTTTACTAGAAATATCCCTGACAAAATGGGGATCTGTGGGTCCCTACACCCCTGAAGTGGGCAGCTGCACAGGGGCTAGGAACCGCCTGCAGCAGCTGGGGGCTGTGGGGTATCCCTGCTGCCTGCAGCTCCGGGGGTCCTCCGCAGCCGCCTGCGGGGGCCAGGATCCGTGGGTTACCCCTGCAGCTGCAGGGGCTTGCGGCAGCTGGGAGCTGTGGGGTTCCCCAGGAGCTGCGGGGGAGTTTCTTCGGCAGCGGCTTGGAGTTCCGGGGCCGACTGAGGTGGCGGAGATACCCTGCAGCTCCCTGCCCCCGCAGGCGCCGGGGGACCCTGCAGCTCCCGACCACCGCAGGCTGACGTCACGAAGGTCGCTGGAAGTCACGGTTTCTGTGACTTCCGCGACTTCCATGACTAAATCGTAGCCTTAGTTATCGTTACCTAAACATAGAATTCTCTCCTTCAGTCTCTTCCTCTCAAACAAAATTATCCAGGTATGAAGTTGTGGACTAGTGACATGTTTGCGGTCTATTACCTTATGAACTAAGTGTACTAGAAACTGGTGCTTTTTTCCACTGGAGAGCAATGAATCTCCCTTTCTAGTGGTGTAGACCATTTGTTTTGAGCCCTGCTAGGTGTTAAGATATAGATCTGAAAATAATAAAACATTTTAGATCATTGTTAAGGGTACTTATGGCCCATCATCTAAGGAAAGAGGGAGTGACCATAACTTCTTATTTGGATGATTTGTTGGTTCAGCTGTTCTGACTGTGGCAGGTTCTCTCTCCTAGGTCAGGTTTTTGTGAGGCAGCGTGGCTCACTGGATCAGGCACCAGACTGGTAGCCTGTGTGCTTCAGTTTCCCTTATTGTAAAATGGAGATATAAGTTACCTACTTTGACTACAGAGGAGAGCGCTATATAAGTACTGTTTTTAAAAAGTGTTTTTACTTCATTTCACCTTCCTGGAACACTGCATTGCTATGCAGACATCTCTGGTTCTCTGCTGTCCCAGTTCTATTAATTTACTGTCTAAATATTCCTGCCTCATCTCAAGGCACGGGTGCTCTTCATCTAGGCTCCTCTATGGAGACCCACTTGCTACACATAGCTTTTATTTTTTTCTGTCTTCTTGATTAATTACTACTTTTAGTGATGTTACTCATCTGTCCTTTGACAGCTTAAATAACCTCCACACTCCACAGTTACTACGCAAGAGGATAAATGGACACAAGTCAGATATCAGGAATGGCAATATACAAAAACCTGTAGGAGAACACTTCAGCCTCCCTGGCCACACAATAGCAGATGTAAAGGTAGCCATCTTACAGCAAAAAAACTTCAGGACCAGACTCCAAAGAGAAACTGCTGAGCTCCAGTTCATTTGCAAATTTGACACCATCAGATCAGGATTAAACAAAGACTGTGAATGGCTATCCAACTACAGAAGCAGTTTCTCCTCCCTTGGTGTTCACACCTCAACTGCTAGCAGAGCACCTCACCCTCCCTGATTGAACTAACCTTGTTATCTCCGTACTGATTTATACCTGCCTCTGGAGATTTCCATTACTTGCATCTGAAGAAGTGAGGTTCTTACCCACGAAAGCTTATGCTCCCAATACTTCTGTTAGTCTTAAAGGTGCCACAGGACCCTCTGTTGCTTTTTACAGATTCAGACTAACACGGCTACCCCTCTGATACTCCACACTCAGGCCAAAGTTTTACTTGAACAAATCTGTGCTACAGATCTGCCTTTCTTTTCCTCAGCTGTGTTCATGTACTTCACTGCTTTGACTCGTCTTCTGAAATCCTCATTCATGCTTTTATTTCCTCGTACCATCTTGTGCTGTGAACTTGTCAGATCTCAAAAGGTGTCAACACGGTCTGAATAGATAGGTGCTCTAATGGAGGTTTGACTAGAGCAGTGATACTCGGGCTCCTGAGCTTCAAGTGGCTCTTCAGTGTGTTTCCTGTGGCTTTTTGCAGTAGATGTTAAAACACCGTGATTTAATTATTAACCAATGAATTCACATGACTGTAGCTCTTTTGGGTAATGTTGATAGCTAATTTGGCTCATGAACCACTGAGGTCTGAGTATCACTGGACTAGATGATGATAATGATCCTTTTTGGTCTTAAAATCTATGGGTGAGACCTTGGCTCCATTGATGTCAATGGGAGTTTTGCCACTGACTTCATTGGGACTAGGATTTTACCCTATGAATCTGAGACACCTCTAAGGGTATGTCTACACTGCAGTACAAATCTTCCAGCTGTCTTGGGTCAGCTGATTTGGGCACGTGGGGCTTGTGCTATGGGGCTATGAATTTGCAGTGTAGACGTTTGGGCTTGGGCTGAAACCTGGGCTCTGGGACCCCAAAGATACTTCAGGGTATTACGTGCTGCATAAACAAAGTTGTTGCCTATTCCTTTTCTGTATTTTGTTTGAGTTTTAGGTCTTCAAATTAGTGGTATATTGATGCTTTTAACACATTAATGCAGCCACACATCCCCCCCCATTCTCTTCCGTTCCAAATTATCCTCGTTCGAATATTTTAAAACATTTTTAATACTTGAAGTAGTTATTCTGTTCTTTTTCAAAAGCAACTAAGACTTTTAATCAATATTTCACAAAATATTTAAAGATTAATAATCACCTCTTAATATTTTGTGATGATACAACGGTGGCACGTGTTCCTAGTGCAATTATGCACAGAACTCCGTTAATGCACTTAGTTGTAAATGACGAACGAATGGAAACCATGTCTTAGAAGGCAATCTGTTGCCAGATTCAGTGAAGAGCAATTGAAATGACTGTATAAAGCAGTCGTATAAAACTTTCAGTGTTGCATTTTTGAAAACTCTTTGAAATATTTCAATCTAGAAAGCATTTAAAATGTCAGTGTCTCTTTGAATATTTTTGAATGATTATAGCTCCATATGTACGTTTACCTATGGAGGAAAATGTTTAAATTAGTGTTAGTGCCAGTTAACTTGTAACTTGCTTTAGCTTGGTACTGTCTGCCTTTCTGACCATTCACTCATAACAAGGAGTTGCCTTTTCTGCAGTTCTAGCCATTTGGAACGGCTTTCTTGTATTGCTCTACCATATTGACTCTCAATCTTTTTAAAAATCTTAACTGCACATTTGTCTTTTTTCCCTTGGCTATACTTGTTAATATCTCTCTTCTCTGCTCTTAATTAACTCTATTATTTTTAACTCTGAAAAGCCTTTTAGGATATAGTTTGTATGAAAAAAGCACATAAGACCTAAATATCAATTACATACTATCACTTAATATGAAGGATATTAATTTTATAGGTTGGGTTATCCAGAGTTTTTAAATCTTATCCAGTCTTGAATTTGAAATGCTTATGCCATTGGTTGAGTGTTTCAGATTCGTACAAACTGTTGTAGCAGGCTGAAGGCCAGACTTGCAAAACTGCTCCGCAACCAGCAGCTAAGTGCTTGAGTGCCGCATAAATCTGTGCATGTCACACTACTTACAGTATTTTCACAGTAAAAAGATATATATATATATATTAAAATGTTTTACAGTTAATGGATGTCAGCATGGATCTGTGGAAAACATACAGCAAAATGGATCCTGTTTCCCTGGAGGACTTGCTTTTTGAGGTAAGGCAGCTGAAATGTTTTGAACTAACGCATGACAAGTCTTAGACGAAAAGTGTCAATTTACGTTAGTGTCTAACAAAAAACTGGTTTGACTACATCAGCCAAAGTGTGGGCTTCCTATGCTGTGAGGGTGCTGCAGTTTTCTCTTTGGAAGTTTTTGTAACTTCTGTGGAATTAAAGACACTGTTCTTTACCTTATCAAGTCTATAGAGAGAATCCCCACAATTGCATGAGTTGGCTGTATTCTTTGCAGGTCACAGCACTATGTACTATGTATGTTCGACACCAGTCCTTCAGTGCATGTTAAAAGAATAGTGCGTGGCAGCAGAAGCATTGTGTTACAAAAGAACAATTTTCTTATCATAAACCTAATTGGTCCATATTGATTGATAGCTACTTAATAGTTTAAAACAGATCAACAGTGCCACATAGTGGCCACAGGCAATTTTTACAGTACCTTTTTTTGCATTTCCCAGTGAACTTGTTTTCTAATGAGGTAGTCTGATTTTAAATGCCTAAACCAATTTGAAGTTGGAGGAATATATGCTTCTAGAATAGCAGTTCCTTTGGTAGTTAAAGTTTAGTTGACATAAACATCAATTTGCGAGACTTAGTATTGCCTCTGCTAAATCCAATTTGAATGCAATTTGAGATGGATTAATATATATAAAACAGCACTAAAAAAGGACAAGATTAGACAGAACTGTGTGTGTGTGTACACACACACACACACTCACACACTGTCTAATCTCCTGTTTTAGTGCTGTTTATCAGAAACTGAAATCCGTTTCAGACTCTCAGGCACTTGATACTTTTTTGTTGCTGGTCTTGATGGATATCGCTACAATCATAAATGTGGACAAGATATTCAGGATTAATTGTAGCTAACTTTGTGTTTTATATTTACTTTTGTGCATTTTTAGAAATTGGTGTGCTGTTAAAAATTACCATATTGTCAGTTTAATTCTGTCATGCATAGAACAGAAACAACAAGCATAGAGACGTTAGTGGCTTCCTTATGTTGCTCAGACAGCATCCTCTACGATGATGAAGCCTGAGCGCTTGTAGGGTTGAGAGTGTACAGTAATTCTTACCTACTCTGTTCTCGTCCTCTTGGTTTATTGTTGCTCTTGACCCCAGAGTGTGAGGTATTAGCTCAGATTTTGTTTTGTCATGTGGATACCTGTCATTTAAAGGTTGTGTGGTTTGCTGGTTTGATGCTTGCAGTAGCACTTTGGGAATCCAGAGATCAGGGCTCCTTTGTGCTAGTCCGTGTAAAAACACGAGAGAGATGGTCCCTGGCCCAAAGTGCTTAAAATCTCATTAACTAAGTGGTTGGACTGAGACAATCTCACTTCACATGCCATCAGATGCCAGTATGCTTTTATTATCACTCTCCTGGAGTCCATTTGAACCAGTGACCTAGAGATGAATCTATTATCAGTCTCTTAAGGCATCCAGTTGTCCAGTAGTTAACTTCCATAATGGTGGTTGAAATGAGATGGTGTCGTCCTGAGTTTGAATAGGAGTCTGTCTTGAAACACATGATCAGCTAGCTCATAAATCCCAAAGAAATAAACAGGATGTTAACACTTTTAATTGTGTATCTATCAAATCTTTCTTACATACTGTAAGATGCTTTATTTCAGTCTTTAGAAGTGATGCATTTAAAATACATTTTGGAACAGATACACAAATTTCAAAGATTTATATCTAAGGTGCCCAGTTTCAAGCAGCTCCGTTTCTCTCCCTTTCCCTCCCCTCCCCCCCGCCCCCCATTTCAAAGGTTTGCTGTGAGACTGCCAATTCTTGTTGTGGTGATACTTACTTCTTCTTCTTCTTTTTTTTAATATGGAAGATGCATGGTGGGATTTTCAGAAGTGCTTGGACTTGGCCTGACTCTGCTTCTATTGAAGTCAATGGTGAAAATCCAGCTGACTTCAGTGGGAGCAGAGTTTGGTCCACATGGTGAGTTTTTGGAAATTCCTGCCCTTGTTTCTTTTAACTCTAATAAAACTTTGACTCAAGTCTGACAGCTCTGCTTGGTATTAAAACAGTGAATTATGACGTATAGCATGAGGCATATCATCTTGTCCTGAATAAACTAATGAAAGTACTTCTCAACTATGCTATTTTAGAAAGCTAAAAGAACCTATGTGAAAAGCTTTTCGCCTTGCTCATTCTTGCTGAACAGAGGTTTTCTTGCGGCTTATGGCTTCAAAGTATAGAATTAATGAGTATCAGTCTGTAGTCATAAATAAACAATTTTGTTTAGACATTAAATGTCCACATTAAAGTGTGTGTAAGACTGTAAATGTTACTACTCTATCTAATTTGTATGGTTTACTATTGTTAGCACTGCATTAATGAAGCCGTAAGTGAATAGGCTGTATTGTCTTGTGCATAGCCTGTTGCTAAATTTATAATGTGGACATAAAAATATAATTTTGACTCATACCGTTTTAAAAAAGAGCACACAGTCTAAACCCTCTCACTTCAGTAATCCTTCCCTTCCCCCTCTTTCCCCCCCATATCTTCTAGGTTCATGCTTAGGAAAACTATGGAAGCCATTCCACATAATACATACTGTGCAATAATTGTAGATCCCACACTAAACTTTGTTATAATTCTGATACACTATGTATCCATCCCAAATATCTACTTCATCAGAATGATACAATTTTGTTTTTCTCTATTTTTTTTCTGACGTTTTAATTTCATTCTTAACTCTCACTGCCTTAACTTGTAAAAAGTCCTGTTCATTTGTATGCTGATTCATTTCCGTTCTGTACCTCACATCTAGCATACTTGGTATACATACTTGCTGTCTCCAGCCATGTTGTTTAGGGATAGAGGGGTGAAAACACATGGGGCAGACTTTATCTTGAATAATTAGAATAATTTCCAGTTATAAGAACAGATTCTTAGCTGATGCATCCAAAGAAGTGAGTATTCACCCACGAAAGCTCATGCTCCTATATGTCTGTTAGTCTATAAGGTGCCACAGGACTCTTTGCTGCTTTTACAGATCCCGACTAACACAGCTACCCCTTTGATACTTGACAGTTATAAGAAGTCACTTTTCCCTCCTCTCTATCCATAGTTACTGTCTTTGTTTGATGTTAAAAGTACAAATCCGTATTGGAGCAATGTAGATTCCTTGTTTTTAAAATGTATTAGGCAGTACTTCATTTTTGATCCTGTTCATATTTACACATTTGTCTCTTCAGTTTTTGAGTATCTCTTCAAATAGCTTTTACCGAGTAATCTGAAAACTCAGTTTGACATTCTCAAAATAAACGGCTTAATTTTTAGACTGAAATTACTTATTGGACAGAATATTTTTTTTCAATGAAAGTTGAATTTTCCAGTTTATATTAAGCTTTGAGTGACAAAACTAAATTTCAAGGTCTGAAGTGGTCATAAAACAAGATTTTACATAATTGGACTGTTAACAAAAGTGTTGTAACATAGTTGATTTCATCATTTAACATCTGTGATTTACTGCCCTGCTGACATGATACTAGCCGAACAGAACAACACGTATTGCTTTTTTCCCTTTTCAGGATTTAATGACTTTCGAGCACCAATGGACCAGCTTTTTTGCTAATTTTGACACTGAAATTCCTTTCATCCTCGAGCTGTCAGAATCTCAAGCAGGGGAGGTATGTTTACTTAATTAAACCCTTTGAAATGCAAATACAAGGAGGAATTCATGTGGCACCTTAGAGACTAACTAAGGTGCCACAAGGACGACTCCTTGTTTTTGCTGATATAGACTAACAGGGCTACTACTCTGAAACCTGAAATGTAAATGTCACTAATGCTGATTCATTATTACCGCCTTGCCATTATATTTGATAGGGTTTGTTTTCTTCCCTTCCCCCCTTTCTTTTTCATCTTTATGGTTATAAGCAAACTTGCCTATTGCGGTGTGTAAGCTTATGAATACTCTTCTTTCCTAAATTGTACAGTTCAGGCTGTGTTTCCTTTTTGTTTAACATGACAGTACAGTATAATAAAAATGTTGCATCTGTGTAGCAGGGCAATTTAACTTTTCAGCTAAACTCAAAGTTGAGTTTTGCACTGATAGTGGACCTTATTTGTATGGCATGTCTGTCTAATAGATTCAGATTTATGTATGAATTTCATTTCAGTTTGGTGATAGGAATTCATATAAAGCAACAAACAAGAAAAACTGAGACTGCAAATTTCAGACCTGTTTTAACACAATCCATGATATGACTTAAATGGGAAATGTGGAGGTGCTACTATGTATTCCACCACTGTGACCTGTTACTGGTTCCAGTTGAGTTTAATAATTGTAATTATGTAATCAAGAGATGCGACTTCTTGTTGTTTTTAAAATGGTGTATAATGTAGTTCATTTTTTAGTGCTTGTCTATACTATGGGTGCTACAGTGGCCCAGCTCTGGTGCTGTAGCTATGCCACTATACTGCCATAGTATAGATAATTCCTGTAGCAACGGAATGAGTGTTTTCATCATTGTAGGTAATGCACCTTCCCAAGCAGTGATAACTAGATCTACAGAAGCACTATTCTGTCAACCTAATCGCGTTTAATTGAGGGTTAGGTCGTCATAGTTACGGTGCTCAGGGCGTGAGTTTTTCAGACCCTTGAGCAAGGTAGCTATGTTGATCTGTAAGCCAGGCCTTAGTGATAGCATTAGCATCTCTCATTTAAACCTGGCAGTCTTTCTGTGTTTCTTTTTACTGTTGAAGTAACAAAGTTGTTTTTCTTTTTGTAGTCATTCAGAAGTTACTTCAGTCATGGAATGATTTCAAGCCATATAACAGACAACAGGTAATGTCATTTATCTTGTTCCTGTGAAGATGTCATATGTATCAATCAGTGTACTATATTTATATAATGTTACTTTATATCTGATGCATTAAGACCTATTGTAATGTCATTTGGGACCAGGAATACATCTTAATATATCATGTCCTATTTAGGATTGATATGGAGTTATCTTTAGGTATAAAATATTATTTTTAGTAATACCACTTATGTATAGCCTCTTCTCCTGAAGGATCTCCCAACTCTTTGTAAATTGTCATCCATGTGACTGTATTGTGTACAGAACAAGCATTCAGGCTTCTAATTACCCACTTTGCCTATTCTACGTTATTCAGGATCTTATACTTGATTCATTACCATGCTATCTGAGCATCGTGTGCACAGAATGGCCAAGTTAGAACATTCGGCCCCATATTTTCATAATAGTATTTAAAAAAAAAAAAGTTGCTGAGTGACACATTGGGTTTTGTAAATGATTAACAGGCAAAACACTTAAAAGCAAGGAAATAAGTAGATAAGAAAAACCCAAATCCTATACTAGCCACATAAGAATAATTGAAGGATAAAATAATGCTTGTTTCGTCCCAGCATGAAAGCATTAATTCTGTCACAGCAATCTCTCTATATAACACTTAAGGAAAAGAAATATTATGGAAGTAGAAACTTACAAATGTGCAAATTAATGACACATGCTGAACCTTAGTTTAAATGTAAAATCTAGATACATGGCTAATAATACTTTGTGGTTGTGACTGGTGTCCCAGGGGAGCCAACTGAAGTCACTCAATTAGGGTGAACTGCAAAGAATAAGGCAGACAATCCCCAAAGCTGGTGGATATTCCAATACTTAGATTTACCAAGCCAGCACAAAACACCCTCTATAATACCTCACTGGTTACGCAGAAGCCAACAATACAGTTCGCTTAAAGTAACCCAACCTCAGGCCTCCACCCAGATACCCAAGTCAAATATGATGAAGATTGCTGAAAATATTATTCATCATATAAAAAAGTTCTACCAATCTGAAAGGATTGGACACGGTACCTCCCGATTAATGAATATTTCAGATCTTACCCAAATACTTACAGCCAGTTCTTATTAACTAAACTAATATTTATTAAAAAAAGGTGTGTGTGTGTGTGTGTGTGTGTGTGTGTGTGTGTGTGTTGGTTAAAAGATCAGTATACATACAGACACCAGTACAATTCTTGAGATTCAGATTCATAGCAGAGATGGTAAGCTTTGTAGTTGCAAAGAGTTGTTTCTGAAATAGTTCATAGGTTATAGTCCAATGTTTATATTCAGGGTGGTCCAGTCAAGACTGGGATCTCAGTCCTTATGGCTTAGGCTTCTCCTGCATGAAGCCTCAAGCAGATCTGAGATAAAAAGGGTTGGGACCCAAGGGTCTTTTACACTGTTTCCTAGCAGCCACTTGACCATACAGTCCTGGGTGAACAATAGTCTTTTGATGTAACCTTCTGTTTCCCAAACCTTACCGGTAATTAACTACATGGATTAACATAAGATAATTTATCCATTAGGCAGTCTATCACAAACTTTAAAGAGACACACAGACAATGACATCATTGCATTCAAGATTCATCTAAAAGTTAATATTCCCTTTTGATCTCTAGCTATAGGAACTGTCTGTTTACATAGCTAATTATTAAACAAGATATAAGTAAACACACACAATTAGTATCACCTCTAATTCTCTAACAATACAGGTTTGCACTTCAAAGTTCTAGTCTGTCTAGCAGGGAATGGCCCTAATTACCATTCACATACTTTTTAACTTGTCTTTAATGGTTGGCTTTGGGTCATTTAACCTGCAAGCTGCTTAACCCTTTCTGGTCATACGTCATATTTTGTATAAGATTTGTTGCAATTATATAACAGTGGTAGCCACAATGATTTGCATGGTCATATTTTAATTAGATAACGTCACAGTGCTCTTGGACTATTTCTTAATCACTGCATCTCAAAGCACATTAAAATGGTAAGGATTGTTAGTCTGATAATTCTGTTGGCCAAGTACAGAGATTTGAACCAGCTTGTATCAGAAAAACATGGTTTTAATGGATAAGCTATAAGTCTGACATATAAGGGTACATTTGTGATTTCCCCAGGGCCCAGCTACTCTCTCCTTGCTGGATTCTTGTGTAAATAAATATTTGTAGCCTGGAACAAACATTAGGGGAATATACAGAATAGCCTTAGTAAAGGTGTTACCTTGGTATTTACCAATTACTGAGCTGGTTAAGAATCCTAACCAAACACGCAATGTGTAGACACTGTCTTAGAGTCGGTTTCTCACTTATAGCGAATGAACTTATGCACATTCTCTTGGCCGGGGATCGTCTTGGTGGGATATGCAGGAGGAGATGTCACTTCATCAGCTCCCGAAGTTTCCTTTCACTTTGGAAAAGTAACATTGGCCAATTTGGAGTTTGAAGTTGAAAATAGTCTGTCACGTCTTCACCTCCTCTGTTTCCTTGCTCAAGTGTCTCGTTTTCAAATAACGTCAGTAGCTGATAGATTTTTATCATTCCTCCCCCTGAAAACCACTTTTTGCACAAACTTATGTTAAAATTTGTTTCAAAGTCTGACATAATGTGGTTTGTGTGTTAAATTGAGATACAAAGAAACATTAGATACCTCAAAATATAAAAGCACTGTTTGTCTTTTATCACAAAGTACTTAATTCGTTCAATTTTCGGAATACATTTTACTTAATGAGATGTAACTCCAAGTATTTGAAAAATGGAAGGATTTTTTGGTTTTTTTTTTGGTGGAGAGTTAGAGAGAGATTTGATTATCTTCCTAATGGAACTGTGGTTGTCACCTGTCACTTATTCACTTATTAAACATGTACTTACTGATCTCAGGAGAACTGTCGTCATCCTTTTTGTTCCAAAAGCAGAGCATTTTACTGCTTGAGCTAAGGAAAGATCTCAGTTAGCTGTCATCTAAAGAACTACCCTTCGGTTCTTCCTTACCTGCTGCTAACCAATGGATTTCAAGGTACCCTCTCACATAGTGTCAGGGCTTTCCACAGTGATTAATCTCTTTGAAAAGTTTGGAGACAGCTGTCAAGCTTTTTTGAACTACAGGTATCCAGAGAAACATTAGACAGCAGTCAAAATTGCAAATAGGAAATATTTAGACTCCAAGTTTCTTAACATCCTTGAGGTAGGCTTGGAAGATGTTTTCATAAATATTTTGTTACCTAATCTTTTCTTTTGTTACCTCACGATCCCTTTTGTTTGGTTCTTTCTTTCTAATGGTAGAGGTTTTCCATTGATTCCCAATGTAGACTATACAACTAATTATAATTTCATTGCTATACTCTGTTTTAATGGGGGAATTCCAATAAATAACGTATAAAAACTCGTAGAATACTTGAGGCCTTGATTATATTTTAGAAGTGTTGCAGTAATAATTGTATTTTTCTCTTTAGCCCTAGCAGACAGCCTTTTGTGCTGTTTGGTAACCACTCGAGTAAAGAGAACCTGAACTCTGGTAACTTTAATTTTCCATCGGAGGGACATCTGGTTCGAAATACAGGCCTTGGTGGAAGTACTGCTAAGCACATGGTGAGCTTTTTAATAACTTACCTTTTTTTCCCCCCAGCAGTATGTTTTTGCTTTGCTAAATTGTTTTTCATTGCATTACAAAATGCTTATTGGTGATCAGTCAAACTGCCAACATGTGTGCAGTACAAATATATATTGTGAAAGGTTCAAGTAAAGCAGTCAGATCTTTAATGAAAAGGGAGGAAATAGGAAATTGAAGTTGCTATGGGACAAATCCTACAGCACCTCTTGGAAGCCAAACTTCCATTGACTTAAATGGTGTTCCACTCATGGGGTGCGCATGATTGGGCCCAATATGAAAGAAGACAATTTTCTAAGGACTGTGCATAGTTGAAAAGATAGGGTATAATATCCTTGGCATATATTCTGACTGATTCGAGGCTGCAAATAAAAATACTCTCTAAAGATGCATAATTTTTCTAACTTTTTTCTTCAGTAACTGAAATATGAGTTATGGTTGAATCATAAAACGCTTGGTTAATATTTCTAAAAATATACTGTATTAACACTTGTAGTAATTTTTGAAATAACTTGTTAACTCATTAATTGCACTTTTCATATTTCCAAAACCATTGTCTCCAAACCTCATTACATTTTTAAACAACCAGACAAACCTCAAAATCCCTGTAAAGCTGTCAACTGTTAGATTGTTACTAAAATGAACTTTTAAAAAATTTACTTGTTTCCATTTTCAAGTAAAAGTTGAGTTTAAAACATGTCATGAGCTCGATGGCTCATTGTGCTACCATGCAGGGGATGCATTTTGGGAAGCGACCCCAGGGAATACAGATCCTCAGTCTGGCTGGGCTGGGTGCATCAAGAAGGTAACTCGAAGCGAAGGAGGAGAGGTAGTGTGCAGGTTGCATTGTTTAGTTGTCCCTAGTAGCCAGTTGAGGAAGGCTTTGAGCGTGTCTGTAACTGCTTGCACAGTTGCTACTGCAAAAGATGTAGAGTGTAGTTTATTAGGTACAGGTAATTATGGAGCAATGGCCTGGTAATGATTTTATGACTCCACATGGGCTAGAGCAATATTTAATGAGTCACTGCCTTATGGATGAGCATGGGGTTGGCCCATTCCACTGGTTAGGTAAACAAGAAAAGATCATTTAATGTTCCAATGTAATTAAACTTCATTCTCAGTTTCTTACCCTCTCTCATATTATTCCCACATGGATACCAGTCATACTATTTTTATTTTCACATACATGGGTGGGATTCCTGTTAGGAGCACCTGTTGTCTGTCAGAGCCAGATGTGCTTGCTTCCTGATATGGTGTCTGCCACATCATGTCCGTGAGCCTCAGAGGGCTAAAGGAGGCGGTACGTCTAACATGACATTGCTCTGCTCTGTTAGCTAGTAGGATGCACTGATGATAGCATTAAATAACAGGGCAGGGCAGCCAAGGACACCTTGGCAGAACTTGAAGCACATGAATGAAAAGGAGTAATTTATATACAAACCCTGAAAACACATTCTTAATTCACATGGGGAATTCAGAACTCATTTTGTTTTCAAAGCCTTTTTGAACCACGCATATCAAGTCAAATATTGAAATACACCTTTAAAAGGCTTAGATAACTTTTTAAATACAACTGGTCCTGGTTCATGCACTTTCGGTAGCATTTCAGTAGCTAGAAAATTAAGGCAGATTTTAATTAGCCATCTATTTATAGTTGTTAATGTTTATACCATTATTTATTGACTAAGACCCACTTACATCTTATTAATACTGACAACTAGGCTGTACAGTGTGTATCTCCCAAGGGACCTCTGGCTTGTTCAAGGACCTATATTTTTGGAACAACTCACATTCCTTACCTGGGTAAGTCTCTCAACATTTTCTCAGAGTATTTAAGGAACATCTCCTGATTATTTGTAATAATTTAGCAGCAGGTGCATTGCTTGTAGAGAGATTGAAAGCATAGACTATTTGATTCCCACAGCTGTAGAGACTCTGTAGAGCAGTAGCCCATGCAAAGAATCCTACCTGACGTGGTTACCATGACCATGTCCCTCCACCTTCACCTTTTACTAAAATCTGTCGGAAGTTTTCAAGGAATTCTCCAAAAGTAGGTCTTTGGAAATAAGGCAAAAATGGAGTTTAAACTTTATTTAGTTTGAAAGGTAGTTTGAAAATACCTAGGAAAAAGTCACAAAAAGTAGGGGAGAGGAAATCTTTCAAAGCCTGGGGATGCATGGTGAGATTAGAATTGAGTGAGCCTGGTGGAAGTATTCTGCTTTTAAGGTAAAATCCACCCCATTCAAGTCAGTGGGGGGGCCTTGTGTCTTAGCTACTTCAGTTCAAAGTCACATATTTAATTTGGTTAATGTTGAGTGTGAGTTTAAATCCACTAAAAAAAAAAAAAAAGTTCAAGCTCAAATGTGCTATATGATTATAGTGGTGACAATGTCAAAACATTACCTGCCATACCTGGGGTACAAGTTACTGCCTGGTTTAAGTATCGGAACATAACTGCAGTATCTCAGCTACCTCCATTTGGTAACTATTGACACATGACTTTTAATGATTGCTTCATTAAATTGTACCATGTTGGAATATTATGTACTTGTATTTTTAAGTTACAGATTTATGTGATATTCATTGTCTTATCTTGATCCCCATAGCATTTTAAAAATACATACTAATAGGGCCTGATGGTGCTCCCTTTGAAGTTTGCATAACTCCCATTGATTTCAAGGGGGAAGATTCAAGTTTCCCAGTGTTAAAATTTTCAAAATTTGTATGGAACCCAGATATTTTGGCAATAGGGGTCAGATGAACTTTCAAATATCCTCCAGCACCTGGAGCATGGTTTATAAAATAAACAATAAATGTAAAAAATAATGCTTTGGGGAGTACATAAATCTTAATAATAAATTGTGAGTGTAGTCGTCTCAAATATCTGTTCCAAGCTATTAGCAAATATTAAAAACAGTTGCACACCTAGTAAATTTCAAAATATTATGAGACATGCTTGCTTTAGTTACTGTAGGAAGTTCGTAAAGAACATCATTTTGACTGCATTAGTGTTACAGGTTACAAGAAAGTGTTAAACTTGTCTGTTACAGAAGTTCATAGAAATCAAAAGGAATTCAAGGTGGTAATTACACAGCAAAATCACAACTCTTCTTTTGTTAAAAGATGATGATTTTACAGGGAAGATGAGAGAAAAGAGTTCATACTGTTCTTTTTAGTCCTTTGTCTCAGTCTTTTGTTGTCTGAATAGTCTACCCAAGCAATGGTTGCAACAATATTATCATCGTAATAAAAACATTGTATACTTTGTTCCTAGCTATGAGATTATATTAAATAGATTTCGTCAAATGCCAGTTTATTATGTGCAGTTAACAGATGAAATTAGATTAAATCTTAATTAGCTGTTTAAAATATTCTTTAAAAAAAAAAAAAACCTCAACACAAATTCCAATACATTTGCTTGAAAAAAGATTCTCGTAATGAAACGTTTATAGCCGCCTAATAAATAACAGTATTCTAAGATCTTGATATTAAATGTTACACCTGCATGTAATTTTCAGCCAGATCAATTTACCATACAGCCAGTCTTCCCTAGAGAAACTTTGCTGGCAGTAGCTCAAGAAGACCATTTAACCAAGATTATTCCAATGAGAAGCAAATGACTTAATAGTAGCTGAAAGCCCCTGCTGTCTCATGGCTGGGGCAGTGGTGATTGGGTGCATTACCTTTGATACCACAAAGATGTGGGGATCCTTGGCATAGCATAGATACGTGCCTAACTGTAGGTGTACATTGCACAGGAGTAATTCATAAGTCAAAATGGCTGAGAACGTAATTGGGTGGAGACAGACAGCAAATCCCAGTGATGACTGAACCTGCTGATGTTCTGAACAAAAAATAAATAAAGTGCTGTCGGCTATGCTTGAGGCGGTTTGCATTGTTTCACGCTGACTCAACAGACATTATAGGCTTCACCATGACAATCCTGGAGTCTTCTTATGTAGATAGGCTATTAATCTGTTGCTTGTGATGTAATTCAGTAGTTGGTGTTATTAACTAAAAAAAGCCTATTGGTCCTTTAAAAATAAAAAAACTTGCATCTTTTTCAAGATCAAATGACTTCAGATTTTGCCAAACATATTTGCAAAAAAAAAAGTTCTTCCCTATGTAGTCTCATCTATATTGCCTTCCCCCTTTATCTTACACACACTCACAAGTTAAGTGAGGACGTAGAGGAAATTTATTTATCAAAAGAAGGTTTACGTCATTTCTTCTCATTGAAGTTGTATGCTTAAAAGCAGTAATATAAGATCTAACAGTCTCCCCAATATAAACCATAGCATAAGGGCATTTCAGTAGATTAACATTTAAAGGTGTTAATGGTTGGTGTGCATCTGTATTTAAAATGACTTGCGTTAAATAATGTTCAAACTCTTAAATCAAACATGCTTGAAAAGAGACCATTAATGAAATCATGTTTTATATTTCTTTTTATAGTCAGCAACAATATACATACATCACAACTACCATAAACATTCACCTTTGTTATTTAGAATTGATTTTATTGTAGTTCATACTTGAGAAGTCTTTTCAGATAAGACCTTTTTTCCTTGTGTAATGTTTGTAGAAAGTGTGGGTTGAGTATACTACTACACTCTCCTTCTTTCTTCTCTCCCCTCTAACATCCTTTTTTGTAATTTTAAAATTAGTGAAGCTCTTCAGTTCCTACCCTTTTTTGTTCGTGAGCATCACCCAGCACACGCTGGTGCACATGCAAGTAAAACAAATGAAAACCATTGATATGTTACTATCTTGCTGCCTTTTTGCTTTAGGTGTATACATAGCCTATCTATGGCCTTGCCAGTAATATTAAACTTTGTGACTGAAGCAGTTGAACTGCCATTTTTTACAAACTTAAACAGAGTAAATATGGTTATTCATAGTATTTTGCAACTTCTCAGGTGTACAACTATATTTTTGATACTTTTCATGATTTATAAAAGGAAACTCCATCCCTTTGTCTTTGACCAATGGAGGGCTTAAAGTAGTCACTAGAGCCCTGCAAATCCGTGGGTATCCACTTTATATCCGTGGCCCATTTCTGTGGATACCAGTGTGGATGCGGATACAAATTTTGTATCCACGCAGGGCTCTGATAGTAAGAGTGGGTGGGTGGGCAGCTGTGAGGAACCGTGATGCGGATCCTCCACCTGCCCTGGTCGGGGGGTGGGGGAGGGGGTAGGGAAAGGGGCCAGGGGCTTCTCGGGCCCCACGTCCAGGGCAGGTGGAGGGTCCGCCGTGGCTCCCCACAGCTGCCTGCCCGGCTCTTACTATAACTGGGCTGCAGCTTGGAGCCACCCCCCTGGCCAGAACAGGTCGGGGAGAGCCATGCGGGCTGCTGTGGGGAGCGTGGGTCCCTCCACCTGCCCTGGGTGGAGGGCTGCTTGGGCCCTTCGCCCAGGGCAGGTAGAGGGTCCGCCACAGCTGCCAGCGCATCTCTTCCCGACCGGGGTCGGGGGGTGTGCCTCGGACCCTCAGTCCGCAAATCCGTGGATGCGGATAACCGCAGATAATTTTTGCAGATCGCGGATCGGATGTGAATACACGTTTGTGTATCCGCGCAGGGCCCTAGTAGTCCCTTTTCAAAAGGATTAGGCTCTGCTGCACTGAAGACCATGTGAGCTCTGCTTTTTACTTTAATGGAAGCCAAACTGAACATGTAATCCCCCAATCCTGAAAACATTTAAGCGTGTGAATAGTCCCATTGAAGTTAATAGGACTCCCCATATATGAAAAGCCAAGCATGTATGTGTGCAGGATTAGCCCCTCCTCACCAAGGTTTTAAAACCTGGGTGCCTAAAATTAAACTCCTAAATTACCATAGAGAAACTGCCACATAACTATATTTAGGGATTGGCCTAATTTTCAAAGATACTGATCACCTGCAGTTCTTATTGACTTCAGTGAGGCTTGTAGACCCTCAGCACCTTTGCAAAATAGGCTACTTATATTGAAGTGCCTCAGTATAGTAATTTGGGAGTTTCTGGTAGATTAGGAGTTTAACTTTAGGCTCCCAGGTTTGAAATGTTTGGCTTTACCATGGTACTACACATACTGGTACAAGTTGTAACCAGAAATTTGCTCTGGTGTTGTTGGTGGTTGTTGTTGTTGTTGTTGTTGTTGTTTTTAAACAAAACCTACCTATCAAAGCAAGAGCTCAGACAAAATTACCAGCCACAGTTTATACATCAATTTATATAAAACAAGAAGTAAAGATGACTCTGCGAGTAAAATGTAAATACCAATTGTTTAGCCTTTTGAATTCGTAATTCTGCTTTTTTAAAGTAGATAACCTTTGCATTAAATACATTGCATAACCTCATGTAATAGTATTTAAAATTAACTTAAAATATTTCATTTTCATACAGGAAATGACAATGAGATGCACGAGAAAACTAAACAAGTGTAAGCTATCCATTTTTACTTTTCCCCCTACTTCTCCCTCCAATTCCACTTAATGACAATAGGTCCCAAACCCCTATTTAGATGGGGATGGCTGCTGATAATTACAGTGCAGTTTTGTTTCTTTAACAGAGCTCTGTGTATATGTAGGAAGGGGAGGCTTTGTTAAGCAGGTGCTTAAAAGATGAGAAATCTGGAAACTGATATGGAGTATAGGTTCTGTTATTTGATGTGATATCACTGCAGCACCAAAACAATGTTTTAAATAAAATAAAATAATTTTAGGTCTTAGACCTTAGTTCCTCCTGTGTTACTGATACATAGGACAGTCCAGTTTCTCCACTGATTATGGTCGCTTGCTAGTTGTGGTTCTTCTTGGAGTTTGTGCATTCAGTATCTTGTGTCACTATCTTCTGCCAGTTCTTCCTTAGCCTTCCTTGCCTTCTGTTTCCTCTCTCAAATATCCAATTAAGTGCTTGCTTACAATGTCTCCTATTTGTATTTGGTGGAAAAAACAGATGTAGCTAGATCATATGGTAACAGTCTTTTCATTACTCTAGTATCTCAGGAGGATGTTAAACAGAAGCTACTAAAGTTAGATATTTTAAAATCAGCAGCCCTGGATAACTTGCTTCCAAGAGCGTTAAAAAAGCTGCCTGAATATCACACTGGACCATTAATAGTTGGTTTTCAGTAAGTCAGAAACACACGGTATGTTGCAGAACAGTGGAAGAAAGCCAGTGTTGTTAGTATTTAAAAAGGGTAAATGGGATGAAATAGGAGTAGGAGACCATCCAGGTGGGCTCAGTGGATGATCCTGATGAGGGTGCATGCTGGTGTCTCCTGGAGTCAGAGGCATGGTCCCAGTGCCTATGGTCTATTGTACCCAGTAGCACAGTCTCAGGGTCCCCCACAGGATCAGGCCCTTAATACAGTACATGTCCTATTGTGCCATATTCATAAAGCTTGACCTCAAAAGTTGGCTGTTTATCCTATGGTTCTCTCCATGTAGAAAAGCAGCATTTGACTCAGTTTTTGATAGAGGCTCATGGATTAAGCTTATTTATTTTTTATTTAAATGTTTTTAGAGATCATAAGTTTAGGCCTTAACGTATTTTGTATTAAATTTGGATTTCATTTGTAAACAGGTTTATTTTTAAAAAGAAAAACTTATAATTTAAATAACAATAAAAAATCTGGTTTTAAAATACACCTCTACCTCGATATAATGCTGTCCTTGGGAGCCAAAAAAATCTTACCACGTTATAGGTGAAACCGCGTTATATCGAACTTGCTTTGATCCACTGGAGTGTGCAGCCCCGCCCCCCCTGGAGCGCTGCTTTACCGCGTATATCGGGTCACGTTATATTGGGGTAGAGGTGTATCCAACTTTTTTAACTTTAAAAAACTGACTTTCATCCCCCCAAGTGCAAATAAAATGTCATGAAAATAAATCCACTAGGCACAATATTAGAGATTTTAAGAGGTGTCTACTCCTTTTAAAGTAAGGCATTGTGTGGGTCTTGCCCTGTAAAAGATTTCTGGATTGTTATGAGAAAAGACAAACTTTGGCTATAGCAATTCGTGTTATGTTTGTATTTGTCGTTTCAGTAGGCTGTTGTCCCAAATATATGCTGCTGTTGTGGAGGCTGTCCTTGCTGGTATTGCATGCTATGCCAAAACTTCCAGTGCAACCAAGGTAATTTAAAATGCCTGTCCTGTATCTTGTAGCAGCAATTAACTTGTTGGCATTGTCTTCAGAATGTTACATACATCTGGCTTTAAGGAATACCTTCTGAATAAAATCCCACCATTTCTATTTTCCTTTTTGGCTTGTATAAAACTCCACAGAAAACAAGAAAACCCCCCACTTCGTCACATATATACATTACAGTAAAGTTCATATAATCTTTAATTTTGTCTAAACTGGGTTATTTGACATCAATCGCAAGTTACTTTTCATTGGTAAGGTGGCCTCCAGCAGGACTTTCTGAAATGTCCGTTTTAATGAGTGCTGTTTCAAAGTTTTACGCATACAAGATGTGTGTCTGACCTTGTGAAGTTTGTTAGTAATCTGGGCACTCAGTAGTCTGGCTCAACTATGGTATTGTGCCTCTACTGCCCAGGGTATGGTTTCTGTTCAACATCTGCATGCGCATCTAGTTAATGGAAATTCTGTAAGCATATATATAATTTCTTTTGTTTTTATTTATTTTGTTATTTATTTATTTTATTTTATTTTATTTTATTTGCAGGCAAAAGAAACAGCAGAAGAAATTCTTATGTCTATGCTTGATTCCTTTCATCTAATACAATTTAAAACTGCATTACGGTATGTAACTTTGGATATTTATTAGCTTTTCTGCTCATATTGTCTTAACTCAGTTGTTTTCTTTGGGGAAAAGTTTCACTTAAAACATATTTCTTGTTTTTAAATTTGATTACTAAATTGCAGATTTAAATTGAATTGGTAGAATAATAATTTCATTTTTCTTCCTCTACACATTCTCCTAGCCACTTGGAAAGTTATTTTAGCCTTAAAACTGTGATCAGTTTCTTTGCATGTAGTTTAGCATGTAAAAATGATATGATTCAAGCATGATCTACATTTATAGCAGTGTGTAGGGTACAGACACTACATGCCCAGCTAGGACAGGTATAAAAAGCAGTATACGGTGAGGCACCGCTTAATAGAGTAGAGCATAGCGCCCTCCACGTCTGAACCCTAGGGAATATAGATGGCTCTCTATATGCCCAAACAGTGCCTCCCATGTCTACACTGCTATTTTTAACAGTGTAGTGTCCTGCAATTTCTCCCCTGCTGGAGTCTTTCTCCACCACAATGAAAGACTCTAGGAACAGGGAAAGGTTGTCGTAGCTTTTCCCCAATGCCTTCCCCCTGCCAGAGCCTTTCACTGCCGCACATAGCTACACATTTCCTACATGCTACTGCAAGTATAGACAAGCGTAGTCATTAGCAGATCTCTAGGAATAAAAAAAACATTTTAACTGGATACTTTCTTTATTTTTTTTGTACACAGCTCCAAAATAGCTTTTCAGATTCAAGCTGTGAATAATCATGGAAGGTCAGTATTATTTTATGTTTCATATGGGAAATAAGTAATTTTGATGCTAGTCAGCAGCATAGTATTTTTAGCCTTCACAAAACACATTAGAGAAGACATTATGATCTTTGTTTGTTATAGCAAATGAGGGCAACCATTAAATGCCTTAGCATTTGTATACAGAGGCAATTTAATGGCTTGTTATCCTTCTGTGTGTATTTATATTTTTATGGAATCTTAGTAGCACTTTAAAAATGAAACAGCTGGGTAGAGCATCTTTATTATCTCTGCTAATATATAGGAGCGGCAGGCGCACATTAAGAGTTTTCATTTAAAAATAAATTTGTTTGAAGTAAGTTTTTTCTTCTCTAACTTATGGCATCTTACATTTTGCCACATTGTCTAAAACCAAATTTTACCTGATTGACTAAAATGCCCTAGAGGGATAGAACACTTCTTTCAAGTAGAAATAGTTATTTTGGATGGGTATTGTAAACTCTCATTTAAATTATCTAGTCTTTAAATATTGAAATATTATTCTGTTTTAGAATTATTCCATTGGATAATGAGGATAGCCTGTACTTAGTTAAAACCGTAAGTAGAACTATTCTGTGCTGTGCAATAACTTCCAATGATGGGTATTTCTAAATGTTGTAGTAATCTCTACCACGGAGAACTACTATATATAAATTTAAAGATCTCTTTATAAAAAAATCACTTAAGATGTCAAAAGAATGCAGTAAGGGATTAGATAGACTTATTTTTGTAAGATTTTTGAGTTCAGTAAATAGCAACAAATCTCTGCTGTCTTTGGTAGATGGCTTTTGGATGCAAGAACTGGTTAGCTCCTGATGTGTTTGGGAGCTTGGCCCAATAGATAGGGCAGGGAACTTGGGCTTAGGAGACCTGAATTTGATTCCATTGGCTGAACCAGAGTTCTTACCCTTGCTGTACTTGTGTGGCCTTGGGCAAGACACTTAACTTCTTTGTTTTATTTTCCCCATATGTAAATAGGGATGATACTTATCTCTTTGAAGAGCTTTAAGGTCTATGCATGAAACTTGTTTCATTAGTGCTAAGTATTTAAATGCTAAAAGACTTTTTTTTTTTTTTTTAAACAAGAATCAACGGCTGGAAATTAAAGCCAGACTAATGAAAATTAGAAATAAGGCACACATTTTTAAGAGTGATGGTTACTGACTATTGAACAAATGACCAAGTGAAGTGGTGGATTCTTCATTTTAGTGTCTTCAAATCTAGAAAGGCATCCTGTCTTGAAGATATACTTTAGCCAAACACAAGTTACTGGCCTCATTAGAGGTAACTGGGTGAAATTTAATGGCCTGTGTTATACAATGGTCAGAGTACATGATCCAGTGGTCTCTTCTGGCTTTAAAATCTGCATATCAGTGTTTCCCAGAGTGAGGCTTTTTTCAGCATTGGAGATGAAAGAAAATTGGGCATGATTCTTGCTCTCTCCAGTCCCCACTACAAATGGAAGACACTGGGGAGTAAGTGCAAAAAAGGGTAGACTTTTAAAACCTGAATGCAAACAAATGGGGGGAGAGGGGGAGATTAGGGTTGGAAGAAAACAAAAAAATAGCAAGGTGTGGATTAAGGTACAAGGGAACCTAGGTCTAATACACAAATCCTTAAAAAGGTTGGAAACTACTTAGCATGAATCTGGCTTTTAAAAAAATGCAAATATTTTTGGCATTTAGGACCATCTTTGGGTGAGAGCTGTTGGAGTAATTTATTTCTTCTTCAGTCTCTGCACATTCACTCTTGTGGGATTGCACATCCTGGTGATGAGCTAGTTAGTTGTGAGAATATGCAATCCCACAAGCATGAATGCACAGAGACAACTGGCAAGTAACCTCTGTCTTGAAGATCTAAGTATTAAAGAACAATAACAACCAAGATTTTCAAAAGATGCAGTAGTAACACTGAAGTCCAGATTCCTTAATGTGGACATATGGCAACAGTTGCAACTGAAATCTTGCATCTGTTTTTTCTCTCTTCCTGCAAAACTGAAAATTCAGCCATAGTGTGTACAGTTATGTATGAACTTCTTGCCCTGCATGGCTGGATGTCTTGAGCTGCTCCCCCTCCCTCCTTGTTTCCCCGGGCAGTGGGTTGGAGAGGGCCTGGAGAAACCTGGGGAATTTGAGAGAGCAGCCATGAAGCTCTGGCTTCAGAATTAAAGTATTTACATAGCAGGAGTTCCACAATTCAGATCCTGTGAACCTTATACTCCAACCTAGTTCACAATTGTGGTGCTCATCTTATTTTAAAGAATTCCCAAACAAAAACTGTTAGTTTAAGGATTTAAGTACCTTTTGAAACCACACAAGCTTACAAATCATTCAAGAAACGCAAATGCTAAAAAATTTTGAAATCACAAACTAAGGTAACAAACAGTTGTTATGCTTTTTATAGATACATGCATAAACTGTAGACTTATTTGTGCTTATTCTGTACCTTAGGTATAGAAGTTTGAACTTCATTATTTTTCTTGGTTTTAAGTTAATTTTTTATACAGTTTGATATAAGACTGATATAACACTAGAAAAAAACAGCTTCCTGTAGAATCAGTTTAGTATTTTATCATGTGACTAAGGTGGCTGCTCTTTAATTGATGTAGTCCTTGTTTATCCCTTGGTCCTAAAGTCTCTTAGCTGTCAGCTTTTATGCCTCCGTTTTTCCATATCTGCATAAGAGTCCATGCGTTGAGGCTTGGTATAATATTTTATGGGATGAGACATTTCATTGTTCCTTCTTCGTAGGTGGTGTATTTGATAAACAGGGTAGTAGAGTTAAGTTTGATCTAAAGAGACGTTTTCTCTTGAGCAATAATCTCACTAAAATGTTCTAATAAAACAAATGTGAACTCTGTTAATAGAACTGAACAGTTCTTGTTCATTTCCACTGTCATCTAGCATAGTTTTTATGTTAGCACTGGTTAGTTTATACTTGGGATTAAGAATTAGGTAGTATATTTAGGAGTGAGGAGATTACATTTTCAGAGTGAAGCTGATTCAGACACAATTCAGTTTTGAGCTGTGAGATTTGAGAGACGATGATTTGAGGCAACACATTCTAGTTACATTTGTTAAAATCCCTGGGTACGCCATTTCCCTTTGTCTGTGGAAGTATATCCTCTCAAGCAGCTAAAATTGGAACTCTGTTTTGATTCTAACAACATTTTAGATAAAAACTGAAAAATTATAAAAGGCTGTCCTACCTCTCCTCCCTTCGCCCTCCCCATTTGCTACAGGCGGCTATGACAATCTATGACATTCCAGATTTACTCGGAGGAAGGGGATGCTTGGGATCTGTTGTCTTCTCAGAATCATTTCTGGCATCACAGATTTTTATAAAGGAAAAAGGTAACTTTCAAGCTCTTGCATGCCCATTACTATCTCTTAATGCTGTTTTTATCAATTCATAATGTAATTAAATGGAGTAGTAAAGTAACTTCTTGTATGTTATCACTGCTATTTTGAAGATTTTAGTAAGTAAAGACCTAACTAAAAATTTTAATTTGCTAGTAATCTAAGGAATCCAGTTGTTTAATTTTAAGGGCGAAGATTGCATTCATTTTTCCTCTGCAGCTAATCTAAGGGACTCGTTTGTTTCTGCTATCAGCTTCATAGGATTGCTAGACAAAAGAATCTCATGCATAATTGCCTTCTCAGCTTTTCAGTCTTATTGATGTTCTTGTATTATAAAAAAGGACAAATAGAAGCACCTGATTTACCTTCCCTATTCCTTTCATTATTTTATATATAGTTTTCTCACCCCGTAGTATTTATCTCAAAGCTAGAAACGAGTAAATGAAAAATAAAAATGAACTGGATGCAACTTTTATTTGTTTTTTAGAACAGTCTTGATTTAAAATACAGGATAGTAGGTAACCTTCAACCAGCTTCAAACCCCACTAGATATTTTCCACAGTGCTGGAGTCGAAAAAAGCCGAAGGCTTTGGTAACAAAGCCATTTGTTAGGAATTCCCCTATAGCATAAGATAGAAAATTTGCTCAAGACATTGGGTTCTAACCAAGTGGATCATCTTTTTTTCCATGTGAGGAGGGTTTTATTTGATTCTTGTGGATTGATAAATAAATTTTAAAAAAAAAAAAAAAAAAAAAAAAAGCTCACCCTAATACCAATATTACGTATGCGGAAGTGTTCTGTTTAATCTTGGTCAGGACTGTTTTTCCCAAAGCTGAACTCCATTTTCCCTTGCTTTCCCAGCTCCACGAGAGGAGAAAGGGGGAAAATGTAAAACGTGTTTAGCCGAGGCAGTAGTGGGAGTCAAAGGGAGAAAATAAACAGCTGAAGGGTTGAGGGACTTTGGCAAAAAGGGAAAGGCAAATAAGAATCCTAGAGAGGCATGAGGACTGTTAATCAGTGTGCTCTGCAGTATTTCTGTTGGATGGATGATTGTCCTGAAAAGACTGGGAACCCTGTCATGTAAGGAACACCGATCGTTTAGAGAATCAGTATTTTATAAGTAATAGCAACTTGAAATCCTCATTGCTGGTAGTGGAGACTAATAGGAAAATAAGGTGATTTGAGAAGCTATGTAAATAGTTCAGAAGGAATAATACTTCTGTTTTATTTTTTACATTTGCTTTCCTACAGATGGCAGTATTAATACAGAAACCAGCTACATCATTCTTACTGCAGCTATCCCAAGATATGTTTCTTGGCTGGTTAGTATAGTGCAACTTAAGTATTTCATACCCTGTAAGTTTTGTAAATGCATTCCACTAGAATAAAAAATAGGTAAATAAATATAAACGTAGAAAGTATGTGTGAATACTCTAACTCCATTTATTGGTAAGTAACACTCCTTTTAAAGAATCTGAAAATGGCTTATGCTGAAGGTATTTAGTCATTCTAGCAATCTTAAATGTAAAAGTAAGTAACTGTTGTACAGTTTATCCAAGCTGACAGGTCTCATTTTTGAGAAGTGAATTAATTGTTGGGCATTTTATAGCACTTGGATAGCTAATGTGACTTGTTGTCAGTGTAGAACTGCTTCTACAAAATTGGAGGTCTGAGGCCAGATCCTCAGTTCGTGTAGCTCTTGTGAAGTCAGTGGAGCTATGCTGATTTACATCAGCTGAGGATCTGATCCCTGGGGGAGAGTCTACTAAAAATTATCTGAGGAAGGAGTCTCTTTCTCCAGCCCTATTATGCCACTTTGGCCTTTAGAGGCTGCTTTAACTGGAGCAGACCCTTGGATGTCAAAGTTATGCAGTGGGTTGTTTTGGCCCCCACAGCAATGCAGAATTGGAAAGGTGTAAAGGTGGCTTAAAGCACAGAATCTGGTCCCCCACCTTTGAATATCATTAGTCACCCAGTGCTGTCACTAAAGCTGTATAAAGAGCATTTGTTTCCCATGAATGTTGAGCAGCATTTTTATTATTAAAGCAAGTTTAAAATCTGATCATTAATCCACTGTGAATATAAATGGAAAATGCAATTTGGTTTTGCCTGCAGGTAGAAGATAATGAAGTGAAACTGTCTGAAAAGGCGCAGCAAATAGTGAAGGTATGTAATGATATAGTGCTTAAACTAACTGCTAATCCAAGGTCAACTTATTTAGTCAAAACATAAAAGTTATGTTTTCAAGATCTGATAATCACAAATAACTAGGGCTGTCAAGCAATTAAAAAAAATAATCACAATTAATTGCACTGTTAAACAATAATAGAATACCATTTATTTAAATATTTTTGGATGTTTTCTACATTTTCAAATATATTGATTTCAATTACAACACAGAATATTTATTTTTGATTACAAGTGTTTGCACTGTAAAAAGACATAAGAAATAGTATTTTTCAATTCACCTCATACAAGTAGTGTAATGCAATCTCTTTATCATGAAAGTTGAACTTGCAAATATAGAATTATGTACAAAAATACTGCATTCAAAAATAAAACAATTTAAAATTTTAGAGCTTGCAAGTCCACTCAGTCCTATTTCTTGTTCAGCCAATTGCTCAGACAAACATTTGTAAGTTGCACTTTCAGGAGAAAGAGATTGCACTACAGTACTTGTATGAGGTGCATTGAAAAATACTATTTCTTCTGTTTAGCATTTTTACAGTGCAAATATTTGTAATCAAAATACACACTTTGATTTCAATTACAAAACAGAATACGATATATATGAAAATGTAGAAAAACATCCAAAATATTTAATAAATTTCAATTGGTAGTATCTTGTTTAACAGTGCGATTAAAACTGCGATTAATCAACAGCCCTACAAATAACGTGTACTCCTATAATGGACTATGCATAATGTATTTTTTGATTAGTCTTTCTGTATATAAGGAAGTTTGTTCTTTCTCTCCCGCTTTTCCCCCCTGCCTTCAAACTACATTGTACAAAAATAACAGATTATGACTGTGAAGCAGGGCTTTGGAGCTGTGCTCCGGCTCCGTTCCAGCTCCAGGCAAAAACCTGCAGCTCCACTTCTCTAGAGCTGCTCCGGGCTCCGCTCCAAAGCCCTGGATATGACAAACTCAGTTTTAGGTTTTCTTTACTGCAAACAAGCCACTAAAAACTAACATCAAAAAGAGTTGTATTAATCAGTCGTCTTTGGAATGTTGGTTTTAAATAATGTTACCCCCTGAGTTCAGTTATCAAAAATATGTATTGAAAAGATCAATATTACTATACATATATATTTTTTAATTTATAGCAGGCTATATGCCTGCAATAAATAACTATAGAGAGAGAGGAAGTATGAAAAAAAATTGTGTAGCATCTGGAAATATTTAAAAAACCTTTAGTTTTTCCATCTGTGATTTAATTTGTAGTTGCCATAACCTTTCAATATAAGTAAATTTTTGTGATTTATGTTCCTATTAAACTGTATAACATGCTTTTAGTTCAGTAAACTGATAATATAAAAAACTAAAAGCCCATGCTCTGTGAATGTGAAAAATAATTTAATAGGTTTTATTTTACAAAACAGTGTGTGGGGGAAGCACTTTTTAAAATGATACTCCAGACCTTTGTTGTGCCATTAAAAGCCACCTTATCTTCGGATATGCAGAGATTAGGTGCAATACTTACAAAGTTAATCAGAAAGGGTCTAATGCACTGATCTAGCTTTTCTCAATTTAAACCTTTACCATTTACTTGTTTTTGCTGTATCTGTTATTTCTGTAATTCAGTCCTTTAATGGTCTGACAAGAACTCTACAAATATTTATAAATTGTACTTTTAATAAAATATTAAAAGCCTTTATTTTTATTCAGAATTGTATTTACAGAACAGAATTTGGTCTTATATAGAGCGTTTTTGGTAATCCAGGTACTTAAATAACAAATAGTAATCTAGTGACTGTGTAGACAAATGGAGTAGCTATTATGCACTTAGCAGTAGCTGTCTCATAAGTTTGAATGCCAGCAACTGTTTAATGAAAGAGGAAAATATTGGCCACAAAACTAGACACCTTCTATATCCTAGTACTATCTTTTAACTTGCATTTGTAGAGTCACCAGCGAAGCGCAAAGGGGGCTTCTCTTTTTGAGGGATGGTATATTTTAATGCAAACCCATCCTCTTACTGCGTAATGTAAATCCAGTGTGTAAAATGGGATGAAACTTGGTCAGGTTCAGAGTGAATAGTCACCATCACCAATACAGTCTATAATGTTACAGTAAAACATTCTGCTTCCTTTTTAGGAAGATGAATCCTTCCTAGGCACTTTCCTCACAGGAGGTGATGGAGCATATATTTATTCTAGCAGTTCACAGGTCATGCCTGAGGAAGGTGAGTTGTTTCTTTTGTAAGTGTTTAAAGAATAGTTCAGCATTCTAAGGGCATGTCTACTCTTACCTCCGGAGCAATCAATCCAGCGGCGGTCAATTTATCGCATCTAGTGAAGATGCGATAAATCAACGGCCGAGCGCTCTCCCGTTGACTGGAGCGAGAGGCACAGGCAGAGTCGACAGGGGAGCGTCAGCAGTCGACTTACCGCAGTGAAGACACCGTAGTAAGTAGATCTAAGTATGTCCACTTCAGCTACATTATTCATGTAGGTGAAGTTGTGTAACTTAGATCGATTTCCACCCCCCCCACCCCCCCGTGTAGACCAGGCCTAAGTAGTTACACAAATCTAGAAGATGTGAATCATGTAGTGAACTAGGCCCTTCCTTGGGTTGACAAGCTACACATGAGGCAAATTATAGATATGGTATACTTATGCTTGGCTTGAAACTCCAAGTCTTCTGCTTCCTTGTTCCTACTGAAACTTTTGCTTCCCTGGAGCTTCTGTCCCTCATCCTAACCCTTCCCCAGTGTAATCCTTACTGCTTTGAAGAAGCTTTGGCTGCTGCATTTCCATTGAAACCACCGAGAAATCCTTGATGTTCCTGGTCCCTCTCTGCTCCAGCTAAAACCATCCCTTGCTGGTATCGCACGTGATTTTTGCCATCTGTCTCTGAAGAAACAGCAGACTGTCTTTTTTGCTTTCTTTTTCCTGCATAAGATAAACTGATGAACCAAGAGACTCAACGTCTATATTTTCAACTGAAACAAATTCAGAATAACGCTATTATTACTGTGAGGACTTTTCCTTTTTTTCCTGGCATTATATTGATATTCTCTGCTTCATTTGTTTCTTTTCATATTTTAAGTCTGGAAGCTCACAAAGCAGTATGTTCATAAGCAGCAAACTATAATTTATTTATTAAGATATTTAAGGCAAATTCACTTTGTCCTTCTGTCCAGAGAAGAGAAATTTTATTATGGTGCCAAAATACGAGCTAAAGATGCTGGAGAATTTACATCTTCTCCAGTGCTTGGCAGAAGTTGAAAACTTGGTTAGGGAAAAAAGTCCTGCAGCAGTCTAGTCATATCTATTCAACATCTTATTTAGTAGTAGATATAGAGATAAGGTGAAAATAGCATGATGTGCCTTGTGCTTAATAATTTTCAGATTGCAAGTTTGAGTTTAGGCTGACTACAAGGTGGAGAAATGTATTAAGCCAACCATAGCAATGTTGTGCAAAATGAGCTTTGGGTCTCTTTATAGTGTGGGAAGAGAATAATAGTGGTTTTGGGTTTGGTTTTTTAAACTGTTTAGCAATGTCTGCCAAATGACATTTTCTTCTATTTTGTGAGATCTGTTAGATTACATCTTTTTTGATCTCTCTGTATGATAGTCACATGCATAAGAGGAATGCTAGAGAGCATTTATTCATAGAAAATATAAATACAAACTTCAAAACCAGTATTCTCTCCCATTAATTGTAATATTTTAAGTTAAATAGTCAATTGTGTTCACAAAAACAATGCTGATATATCACTTTAACTACCTAGCTGTACTATGAATGTCCTACTTTGAAACCTGCTCATTTGTTTTGTATTGGTGTTTTCTTTTTGGAATAGAATGCTAAAGATTTTGTATCCATAAACTTCTGTTTTGTTCTCTTTCAAGAGAGAAGGTATTAAGACACCTATTGTTTCATTATACCATAATTTGATAGACTATGTGTGTGATGTATATCCTATTTAATCCTCTCTCTCAATTCTCTTCCTTACTTTTGTCTTAATTTAGTCTCCCCCTTCCATAGAGAAATAGATAATTATTCCTACTCCTCTTGAACATTCTTTTACTTCTCTTCCTTTTCTTCTTCTTCTTCTTCTTCTTCCTCATATGTGCTTTTCTTCTAGAGTGCTGCCCTGCTCCCCTGGATGGAATGGCTATTAGTAGTGGCTCTGGTCCCATTGGTAGTTCCTGGTCTCTTTTTAGCAAGAGCAGTTTTGCTTATGTCAGCTTGTGGTTCCTTTCCTTCTCTTATTTAACAGCTGAGCTCCTTCTTTAGAACTGCTTTTATTTAGCTGTTGTGATAACTAGGCTGTCTCCTCCTTCTTTCCAGCTGCTTCCACAGGCCATCCACGTTTTCTTAAGAGCCTGGATGCCTGTAAAATCAGCTGGAAACTAGGAGTGGGGGAGACAGTACTGTGTGACCTACTGACTGTTACTGGATCACCAGCAAGTTGGAAAATTGCTGACCAAAATAATAGATTTTATTCTGCATGTGAAGATAAGTGAGTCTGTGAGTAAAGTAACGGAACTGGATTTCATAATCTTTGATAATCTTCACATATGCAGATAATATCTACTAACAGCAAAAGTGATGTTTGGGATTGGTGAAAGAAAAATAGAACTTGTTCCCTGCCATTTATTATGCTGAAATATGAATTATATAAAGTGACACTGGCCAGATAAGCATGTCCAAAGTCAGCCCTGTTTTGACATTAATAGGTTAAAATTTTTCCTTGAGATGTTGGCTCTTTTATAGAAAATAACATGTTTATACATTTTATATATATATAAATTGTGTGTGTATAATAAAAAAGAAGTATAAAAATTCTTATGAAATGTGAAACACAGAAACCATGCCCTTCTCAGTTATTTATCTCTTCTAATCTAAATTCACTATTTTTCTCAGTTTTGCAGTTAATCATTAATGGATTTTTTTTTTTAAAGCCCCACAAAAATGGTGTGTGTGTGTTTTGTTTTTGGTTTTTTTAAGAGATTCCTCAGGGTGGAACTTGCACAAATAATATGGCAGTTCCTTAAAAGGTTTCCTTCCCTGATAGCATCTGGAGATATCTGGTAAAAATGACTGTTTGGGACAAATGTTATCTGGATTGCCTTCCTGTATAGTATATTACTTCTGCTTTTGTTGCATAAGATAATATTTTGGACTGAAACACCAGCTCCATCATGTTGTACTACTTGAATATGACTTTATTGAAAAAAGTGTCAATAGATATTGCTAAATAGTGGCGTGTTGCGTACATTAATAATCTTTCCTTTTTCAATTATAGGTAAATTATACTTCTTTTCAGATGGCATTCTGTTTTCCCATCCCCATCATGGGAGCATTACTGTTTCAAAGAATCATATGGATTCCATTAAGTTCTATGATGGGGTAAGTGCTTCAGCGGTTTGCAGTTATTGTCAGAGATTGTCTTTAATTTATTTTTTTACAGGGGTATTTATGAAGTGCTGTATATACTCGTTCATTAGCCCGTTCGTTTATAAGCCGACCCCCCAAAATGGGTAGGTAAAAATAGCAAAGATTTGTATGACCCTTTCATAAGCCTACCCTATATTTCAGGGGTTGGAAAACTTTGGCTCCCGGTCTGTCAGGGTAAGCCGCTGGGTGGGTCGGGACGTTTTGTTTACTTGGAGCATCTGCAGGCATGGAGCTGCTCAGCTCCCATTGGCTGGGAACGGCGAACCGCGGCCACAAGGAGCTGAGGGGTTCCATGCCTGCAGACGCTCCAAGTAAACAAAACGACAATGTATTAGATATTCAACTCAGTGATTCCATAGAGTTTAAAATAATCAAATTTTGGTGTAGACCTGTTTATAAGCCGACTCCCGCTCTTCGATGCGTCACTTTTTTACTAAAAATATTCGGCTTATGAAGGAGTATATACGGGAATTAGCAAAAACATGTTTGAATCTTTATGATACTGTTTGCAAGACGTGCAGAATATTGTTGACCTTCAGTAGAATGCCATCTAGATGCTTCTTAGACTCCAGGATACAAATTCCTATTCTTTGTATTAGTTTTACTGCACTTTCATGATGGCTGAACTGTAAGTAGGACAAGATTTTAGGATGGGAACTTTATCATGGATATCTTTGTAGTTTGGGCTGCTAGCTTTATTTTATGCAGTGGAAAGGGTTGGTTTTTTTATTAACTTTTTTATTCATTTCACAGTATTTTTAAAAAACTAACAACTGTAAATGAAAACAAAAAATGTATTTTACTTGTTTATACATCTAGCAAACTTATTTTAACCAGATTTTTCATTTTTGTGTTTCAAGTCATAGCTCCAGTCACATGGTTTGTAGATGAAGTGCTGCAGCTATACCAAACATTTTTAACCTTCAGTCAAATGTTCCTAGCAGTGTACCACTTATCATTTAAAAGGTCACGAGGCATGTCTTTATCTACTGTTGGAGACATTGTGTAACTGACAGTGTGAAAGGGATAACTGGTTCACCTTTCCCAGGGAGACAAAAGTGAGGAAGAAAAGCATGCAGCATATGTGTTCTACATTATTATATACATTACAGTTAATTACAGTAAAGCGCATAAACCATTTGTGACGGGTTGGACCCCTTGGGAAGCCACCTGATGTGCTGGAGATACCCCTGAGTCTACCTGTTTTGCCAGCATGGGCCCCCTTTAATCTGTTTTGCTGAGCCAGGCTCTTAAAAACCTCCTCCAACACACACACAGGCAGGGCCACACCCAGCTGCAGATCAGCTCTGGGAAGACTCCGCTTAAGGGACTTGTTCCAGCACTCAGATGTCCACCTCCCTTGGAGTGCAGACCCAAAGATATCTTATGAAATTTGCCCCCACCCTCAATGTGGAGAGAGGTGTGCACACTTCTTGACCCCCTCTTCTCCCAGTTAGAAATTACAGAAACTGGGTTTAATAATAAACAAAACAAATTTTATTAACTTTAAAAGACCGATTTTAAGTGGTAAAAGGGGTAACAGACAGAACAAGGTAGATTACTAAGCAAATGAAATCAAACACACAAACTAAGCTAGTTTCACTAAAGAAATTGATTACAAATAGTATTTATCACCCTAGATATTGTTGCAGGCAGTTTGCAAAGTTTCTGTGGTTCAGAGTTCCAGTTATATTCCTTTTCAAATTGGACCCTTGTCTCAGTCTGGACTCTCCTCTTGCCTTCCCTTTTGCAGTCTTTCTTCTTGGGAAGACAGGCCACGGAGAGGAGGAGTGTTGTTTGCCTTCCTCCCCACCCTTAAATAGGATTTACATAAGGCAGGACTCCTTTGTTTCCCAAACTGGACACCCCCCTTCCCTTCCCTTCCCTTCCCTTCCAGTGGAAAGTTACAAGAAGTCCCAGGTAATGTTTTAGTATGAGGTGACCAGACCACCTGACCCTGTAGTATCACAGCATCCATGAGACAGTGGCAGTATGGAGCATCCACAGGAAGGCCAAGCTTTTCACGATTCATTGTCCTCACTGATGGGCCATCCACGCTGTCTGGCTTTTCCATTGTTGTACCTGATGTGTTCGCAGTGGGCTTCACCCAAAGTAGCATAGTTGAAATACAGAAACATAGTCAATATTCCTAACTTCGGATACAGAAATGATACAGGCATACAAATTGTATAATCACAGTCAGTAAATCATAACCTTTCTAATGAGATCTCACATGAGCCATCTTGCATAAAGTACACCTCTACCCCTATATAACGCGACCCGATATAACACGAATTCGGATATAACGCGGTAAAGCAGCACTCCGGGGGGGCAGGGCTGCGTGCTCCAGCGGATCAAAGCAAGTTTAATATAACGCGGTTTCACCTATAGCACAGTAAGATTTTTTTGGCTCCCGAGGACAGCGTTATATCGGGGTAGAGGTGTATATCTGTTATGTCATATTCATATCATAAGCATATTTTCATAAAGAATATGGAATGACACGGCACACCATTATTTTAGCAGACATTGGCTTTTGCCACTTTCTGACCAAATTCTTAGTCCATTACATGATGATGATTTGCCATGTTAAATATATGCTGTTTCTGATGTATTGCTTTGATGTGACTTCTGAGAATTAAGAATTGGGTTAGTGTGGACAGCTCCGTTTAAAAGTAGACAAATCTGTTTTATCTACAGTCGTTTCTTGCTTTCATAGTTTATTACTGAGAGTGGGAATGTGAGATTACTTTGGATGAGCACAAAGTTTCATATGTGCACTAAAAAGAAAAGCACCTGTTTTTCTTCAGTCTCAAGTACTTTAAGTAACAGTACCGGGACTTCCAGAGAGCATTGTGTAGATATGATTTCATAAAGTTAAAAAAAGTAAAATACAAGAAAGGCATGTGCTTAAAGTTGAAAAGCACAAGAGTAGAGACCCTTACCTTAGCTGCCTTTTCTTTAGTACCATATTGACCGACTCTTTGTAGTTGTATGAGCTATTTTAACACTGACCTTCCTTCTATTGTTTGATTCAAGACACTCACTTTTATAAACCTCTGGCTATTTATGGGGTCTGGCTATCATTTTTGAACTGTTGCCAGGTTTGTGTGCAAAGCAAAACCTTGAAGGAGAATTTTATTGTTTAACTGACTTGGCATGAAGCAAGGGTGGAGAGCTAAAAATATTAAAACACGACAGGAGGATAAGGGGATTGTTAGTGTACTGTTTTTGGAAGGTAGAGTGTAACAATAATATAGATGCAGAGGAAAGGATAATCATTTGCACTTCCAAGCGAGAAAGTATTACAAACAAGAGTAAGTGAGACCTCAAAGTAACATGCACATCTTATAAAATTCTAAAATATAGATTTTCTAACGTCTTTGTTTCATCTTTTAATTATAACTAATCCTAGTAACATTGTCAACCAAACAAACGTGGGTTTGGAAATTGATTTGCGACTCCCACTCTTATGGCTGCTGAGTTGACATGCCACTTAATTTCCAGTGAGTTAGCATGGGCTGAGCTTTGTCCTTTTTAAATCTTGATGCTTTTCTCTGAAGAAAGCCATGTGCTCTCCATTCTCATCAGAGGAAGATTATTACTATGACTTTTAACAAAAAGTACAGGAAGACCGTAGTAAACTATAAACTACACAAAAATGCATGGTCGAAAGGGGTACCTAAAAGAACCATGACAGCACCTGTTAGTGTTTGAGCTGTGTGACCCTCATAACCTAAACTTTAGGTCTGCACAAGAACATTTTCTCAAACTTCACTGTCATTTTAAAAAAAAGTGAGCAAAAACAGTAAATTCTGTAAATGCAGAAACATCTAGTTGCAGTACAAGTTTTAGATACTGTTCAGTCACTTGGCATTGTATTTTAAAGGTAACTTCTTCAGTTTAAGCTTTGATAGTTCAAATGCCGCTGATCTCTAATGGTGCTGTGTCCAGAATTTTTGTGTCTAGTTTGATTTCATCGACATAAATAATGCCTGAGTAGGACTAACGTCTCATCAATTCTGAGACTTAGTAGTTTTAGTTGTTCTTGAAGGCACAGTCTAGGATATATTTTAAGGCTTTTTGTGACTATTGACCTTTTGAATAGCACTTTGCTTGCTAGTGAGGTTTATTATCTTCCTTTAGAAAAGAAATCTTCTTGGTGTACTGCCATATATTATGCTTGGAAAGCTTCTGTAAAGCTTGATTCTGTTTATTGCATTGTTAAGCAAATATAGTTACATAAAACACATATGGCTTGGGAAATTTACTGTGTTCAACAAATGTCCAGTTCACGGCAAAGTAGCTGTTATCTTTTCTGGTTAAAATAATTTGCCTCTTGATGTGGGATTCCAAACTGTTGCTGCTGACTTGCGTATGGTCCCATTTCCACAATTGGATTGTTCCACAGTCACTGATGCTGTGGAGCTGCCATTGTGGTAGAGGTGCAGTGCCCCAGAAGCGATGGGTACCACAACCCAGTTCAAATGGGGGCATGACACACACACTCACTTCTAGGTCAAGCTCCAAGGGTTTTGAAGTCCAGGTCTAAACATTCCTTACGATAGAGAGGTAGGTAATTAGAGGTGAGGAGAATGAAGTAGTTTCTATAGTATGCAAGGTGATTTTTAGGGAAAAAGAAGAAAAGGGAATGTGGTCGTTTTTGGCATCCAGGATGGATTTCATAAAAATCCTCCTTGACTTTCTCTCTCCCTTCAGTAGTCTGAGTGTTCAGTAGCCCGGATAGGAATTCTGCTTGTTGATGGCAATGCTGAAAGACTTCCCCAGATTGAGGCATTCATATTTAAGTATTGACCAGCCTAAAATTTGATTCCTTCCCAATTATCATTAGTAGGATACTGCAAAATAAAACTGGGATTTTTTGTCTACTAGCTGTCCGAGGCAAGATCTACAACAATACTAAACTTCCTTCTCCAATCACAGCACCAATCCTCCCAGGATGCAGTGTTTGTGATCCAGAATATGCACACACAAAACTTCATTATGCTGTACCTGTGGTATTTTATTGTATTTAGTAAGGAGGCTAGGAGTCAAATTTTTTGAAAAGAGAACACCACCAATGTCCTGCATGAATTTAGAGTGATAGAACCTTACTTTCTACTTTTGTAAAGTAGAGATTAAAATTATCTTCATTACAGGATACTGAGGCTTCATTAATGTTTGTAAAAACATTTTGAGATTTGTTGGATGCGAATACAACATAATTTTATTAAATCAAAATGAGATTGAAATTGACAAGAATCCCATTTTAATGAATTTTAGGGAACAGGAATCTCATCAGTTTCAATTTTCTATTGGCTTACAAGAATAGAATTTTGGCAGTAGGAATGCTAGACTTATTTATTTGAACTTAAACTCTGTAGGGGGCTTTATGAGAGAAACATGGGACTTGCAATATACTTACATGCTGCATCTCTACTGGCAAACCTTGTAGCCATACTTCACTACTGGCACAGTTCCTCTCATGGTAGTAATTGTGAAATCTCTGATGTAAAGGAAGCTTTCCTAACTTACCACTATGCTATCCATTTTAACCTTCAATGTTACATATTTTGCCTTTTGTACTACCAAAGGAGGTGTGCCAGCAGAGAACTCTGGGGAACTACTAGTGTAGAGGAAAATAGGATATGGATGGTTGTGGGTTGCCTAAACCTCAAAGCCACAGTTGAATGCTTCAAGAAGGAAATTTAACTCTTAAAGGGTGCAGAGATTTTTCGAAAGGCAACTCTGGTCTTTTTTTTGTTTTTGTTTTTTTTAAATCCAGCTGACCAATCTTGAAGGCCCCTTTCAAACTTATGTTAACTCTTTAATACCACAGGAGAGAGAATTTGTCTTATGACTGGGTAGCTGAAAACCCTATCACTGATTATGGTGGGTCCTTCTCCTACGTTTCTGTACTGGAACTCTTTTGGCATAGCCTTTGCAGGTTTGAAAGGATGCACCGTAAATGTGACTATAAAATGCTATAGATTGGAGAAGTAATACACGTAAATATAACAAAACGATATAACTGTTTTTGTTTTGAATTATCAAAACTGTTTATTTTAAAACTTCCTTGTATTTCTTTCCTAGGATTCTACCAGTGTTGTGGCTGCTCTTTTTATAGACTTCAAAAGTTCCTTGCTTGCTCATCTACCAGTTCAGTTCCATACCCCAAGCAACTTCCTGATGATTGGACTTTTCCCAAAATCAAAGATCTATAAAGCTTTTTATTCACAGGTAAAGTAAATAAACACCATCTTGCTTTAAATGTAACGAAAATACCCATAATGTTCTATGTGATGTAAGGATAACGGAAGATGTTTTAGGAAGCAAGATAATCAGGTGGTTAGAGCAAAGGAGTTGGGCTCCTAATATGGGATGAGTCACTGAGATTCACCATGGGATCTTGGGCAAGCCAGTTGACTTTCATATGCCTCAGTCAATGCAGCTATTAAGTAAAATCAGCACCTGACTGAAAATAAAATCAGATTCTGGATTTAAGATAAGCTCTCAAAGCTCAATTTCTCAAAGTCTTAATATGACAAGTTAGAGGGTAGCAGTTTTCTGAAGGTGACCATCCATTGTAATCCTCTCTTTCTGTTAATGATGTGACCTAGAGCAACTCTTCCACCCTTCCCCCTCACCTCAAGCTTCTGGAACTTAATTTATAAGCATGATTCCCTGGGTCATCTAGTCCAGGTCCCGGGGCATGGGCTATATGAGGCTTATATCTAGCTGCTAATCACCAGTGCCTTTTCTCCCAACAGTATGAGAGAAATGTGACTCTGCGCTTGATTCCTCAAATCTTGTGTGAGAGAAAATCTTTCTTAACTTTTGTAGATGTTCCTAGTGATAACTTTCTAATTATGATTGTCATTAGCATATTACCCCATAGTCACTGTTAAAGTTATCACTTGCATTCTCTTCTAGCCAATGAGTTTGGGCTGTAGAGTATAAAAACTGTAATAGTCATATTTCAGGTATGGCACTGGTGTATTTATTTTGCTACAGTACAAAAACTAGGTATAATTACTATCTAAATCAATCATGATGTCAAATCTATCTGCTGAGTTAAAGATAAGTTTAACAACACACAGAAGATATCTTTTATGAATATTTGAGACCAGTGCACTGTCTTCTCTGTAGATGTAATGATAGCTTGCTTTTTAACATAGTGCTTTATATCTTCCCAGTGTCTCTTCCCACTGCCTCCTGTCTCTTAAACTGTTGGTTTAATTTGTGATATTCGCAATCCCCAGCAACCCAGAAATCATGTGTCGTCTTGTTTCTCTGGTTCCAGTTTAGTAGTTTATCTAATTACTAGCCAAATCATGTTGGTCAGTTAAACTTATCCTTATAGGAATCATGAAGAAGTAGAAAAGCTCTCCTTATGAAAGAGGAGTCATAAATCCTGGAAAAAGTTTTGAAGATCCTTTTAAATGTGATCATTAGAATAGAAAAACTTACATTTTCCTCCTACTTGAATTATCTAGGAAGTTATGTGTTTAAATAGTTTGTTCTTATCATTCTGTAATAGCGTCCTCTGGAAGTATACTGTACCAAGAGAGTTCTTCTACTGTTATCACTTACATTAAGAGGTCCTGATGCTTGAAATTGGAGTAGTTTGTTGCATATTTCTGGTTATACACTTATGGATCATGATCCTAGGAGGTCTTTAAAGAAGATAAAAACTTCACTTGTTTAACTTTAGTACTGCCAAGTACCCCTTCAATTGATAGTCTCACCCACAAAGTAGATTGTACTGGAAAGTGTGGAGAAGGCTGTGTTTCATAAGGGGCATTTTATAATCATTACATATTTAGGTGCCGAGTCTGGCAGAACAGTCTGAGGATTTTAAGTAGGCCATTGAAATTCTCCAGTAGGACATTAACACTTCAAAAAAAAAGTAATATGTTGTCTTCAATAATAATGTCATAGGTTTTAATTTTATTGTATGCATTAGGATTTCAAAGTAAAAAGTATCAAGTGCTGAGATGCCGAATTGTTGTTGGAAGATTGTCCTCTTGTCTCATCTGTTTATGTCTCAGCAATTTATACTGAAAAGTGTGACTGTAGGTGTTGCCTTTACTTAGAGGATGGAAAGACCTTAAAATCTTCTGTAACGTCTGCTCCTGATTCCTCTAAATCTGACTTCTGGGCACACAGTGCCATTCGTAGTAGCATGACTTAGATGAATAAGATTTAAGCCATTGTCTCCAAAAGTTAAATCAGCACCTCACTAAAAGTAAAACCAGGTCAACGTTTCAAAACACTTGACTTTGAAGGCAATTGTACATAAATCAAAATAATTTCTTACATTTGCCTTGGGATTGAAGAAACTTGTGGGAAGTGTTGAAAACAACTTTAGTCTCATGTTCCCTCTCATTGTCTGCTATGATTTAAAGGTTGAATTTATTACTTCTATTTGCACCATTTTGTCCCTTTGAACCAAACCAGTCCAGTGTGTTAGGTACCATATTTTAATTACCACTGGAAGCAAAGGAAATGTGGAGCTTTCTCCTTCTGTTTCAGGAGTTTAATATGATTATTCTGTCATAACAGCGCATATGTTTGTGGGATTTTCATTGATTAAAAAACAAGCATAGAGCTCTGCAACTGTTTAAATATCCTCTTCTGCTCACTGCAATTCAATGTTATCCAGGCAATAGGCGTTGAGTCCTGTGTCTTTTATCAGTGCAGAAGCCATTAATGTGAACTCTTCTGGCTTTTCGTATCACTGTCCATTTTAGAGTCCTTTCTAGTTTAAGGAAGCAGAAGAAGCCTATATTCACCAAGAGAGTTCTGATGGAATGGTATGGATGTCCTATATCTGCACGTATCTTGCGATGCTATAGACTCTAGAGGACTATAGGGTTCCCTCCTTTTATACTAGGAACTGAGTTCTTAGAAAGGCGGCTTAGGCGCTCTTATTCTTCTGAAAGTTGCAGGACTTCCACATTCCTAAAGGAAGTGTGTACATATCCAATTCCTGTCTTGCTGCAAGAAGTTGGATTGTAAATACTTAGTGCTTATTAGCAATGAAAGTAGAAGTATGACATGACTTGTGTAATTATATCTTGTATTAAGAGTAAATGGTGCTGCATTAGGTGAGCGACTATTTCACATAGAAGTATGATAGAGCTATATCTTAGAACCATTTCTCAACTTCCTTGAGATATGCATTATTCTTTGGCATAGTTTAGCAGCATTGGGTTGAAAAGGAGCTAGCAGTTGATGGCGGAAGGTATCTTACTTCATTATGCTGGTACATCCGTTGTGGGACTGGCTTAAAATCTTGAAATTAGGGCTTGCAAGTCACATTCATCCTCATTTCTCTTAGTAATGTGGATCATTGAAGACATAACTCTCAGAACTTCAATTTCAGGTAAACTTTTCTGGTTTGTCCATTTTGTATTTCACACAGTTTAGCATCCACAAGTAATGTCACAGCCCAGTTTGTTTGCCATTTGGTATACAGTTTGCCCATTCTTTTTGCCTTGTCTCAGTCCCAGGGTGGTGGTAGTGGGATGCTTATTGTAAATCTCAACTCTGCATCAGGAAGCTACCTGAAATCTGTATCCATTATTTTCCTGTAAATGCATGAGTACTGTTAAACATTTATTTGGCAGTTCCCTGATTTTGTTTTTGGTTTGCGTGCCCTACATTCGGTAAACATCTTTCCTTCCAAATATGTATGATTGTGGCATCTCCTACCACTCAGCTTTCTCAGTCATGGGATGGCTGGAGGTGGTTGTTTAGTGAGGGGCTTTTCTGTTTTAAAGAAAAGAAGCATTCTGAGTTGGCATTATAGGTAAGAGACTTAATTTCCTGTATGAAAGAAAAATACTTTAAAAAGACTCTTTGATGGTTAATATACTAACATTTCAAATGTGTGAAAACCAAATGAATTCAATGTTTTGAGGCCTGTTTTTTTGTTTTGTTTTCAGGTTTTCTCCTCATGGCAACAGACAAACTCAGGAATATCTTTAAAGGTGATCCAGGCAGATTTCCTATCTGTAGAACAAAAGAGATTGTAAGTTGATGTTGCTCATCTTCATGAATTCACGTGTAATGAAATGTATAGTGTAGTGTTTTCTATTTAACATTCAGCCAAACTATGTGATCTCTCAAGCACTGTAGAATGTTTTACAGCTGATTCACTTGAAGAACCAGAATGATGATGAAATATTAGGTGTTTTAGAGAGGGTATAAAATTGTTATAACTTTACACTAATTTTTTTACCAGTATGTACTACTTGGATATGTGGATTAAAAATAGAGGAAATTGGCAGGGCTTGTTTTGAATTAAACAAATTGGTGTGCTTATTTTAGACTCTCCAATATGCAGAAGCTATGTAATGCCTTGTCCTATCCTGCTGGGGAAAGATGGAGCCAACTAAAAATGGCCGCTAGCCTCCCAGAACTAGAGAGGTGAGTTGGGTTTTTTTGTAATTTCAAAAGATCACGTTTCCAAGAATGATTACAAAGAAGATGTCATATTTTAAGACCTATTGTTTCTCTAACCTCTTCTTAATAAATAATTCTTATGAGATGCAAATATTAATACACAGTCTAAATATTTTTCCCTCTCTGGGAGATCTCTATTAAGTTCTATATCCAGTAACATGTTTCACTGTAGTCAAGTTACAGCTATTCATGTGGAGGGGAAAAATCCACGTTGTCTTGATTAGAAGATAATACAACTTCACTTTTAAAAGGTTTCTGCAACACTTTGCGGTCAGCAGTATAAGTCGTGAGCCAGTAATGAGAGCACACCTTCCTATTTTGTTACAACAGTCGGAAAGCATTCCTGTTAGCAAAGCAGAAAATGATAAGGTAAGATAGCGCCAAAACAAAACCCTTAAAACAACTTTTTAAAAAATGAATAGGAAAAAAGTTGATAAAATACTGTATTTACACCTTCACTTCTCTTGTCTGTAAAATGTAAACAGGTCTTTTGCTTTGCAAATGTATTTTGCACTGCATTTATTCAATTAGCCTTGCATTACATGCAGCTCTTTCAAAGGTTGGTTGTCCAGTCACATTCGATTAACTGTAAAATATAAAAAAGACATGTACGTGACATATCTAAATAACTAACTACATAATCAAACTTATATTTATAGCCGTTGTGCTCCCTTCTCTCAGTCTTCCCACTGTTTGTTGCTTTCAGTGGTGGTGTTTTGTATTTAGGATTTAAGTTTCTAGGAGAAGGGAACTTGTTTTATCTGTTTGTGAGGTGTCCAGCATACTTTTGAGCATTTGAAGAAAAATAATAATGACAGTAATAATAATAAATATGCCTTTTACTTTTACTTTAGGTGGTTATCACTATTATAACAGGGCTTCCAGGCTGTCACTCCAGTGATCTGTGCGCTTTCCTGGTCACTTTTAACAAGGAGTATGGAAGGTTAGTGTAGTTTTGGTTCTACTTTCTACAGCAGTCATCAAAAAAAAAAGAAAAAAGCTGGTTGATTTTTCCATTTTTGTACCGAACAGTTCCTGTGATATTCAGGAAGGATGTGAAGTGATTAGGTTGCTAGCCATGGATTTGAGAGACTTGGATTCAATTCCCTGCTCTGCCACAGACTATGTGATCATGAGTATTTCACTTCGTCTCTGTGTCCCTTGGTTCCCCATCCTGACAATGGGAATAATTGCACTTTGTTACCTCAAAAGGGTGTTGTGAGGACTTGTGCAGTAAAAATCATGAGGCACTTAGATTCCAAAGTAATGGCCGTCGGAGGGTGGGTGGGTGTGTGTGTGTGTGTGTGTGTGTGATATAAGTATCTTAGGTAGTTAGATATTATTCTATATTAAGAATGGGGATACCACAGATACCACAAGAAAGTTAATTCAAATGGCCAGTTGTGACTGCTGTATGTCCATTTGTTTCAGTTTTCTGAGACTGTTCAATTCATCTGTAGGATTAGCAGTATCTCCAAAACGAGCAGATGAAACATTAGATGTTAGGCTAAAGTGACTGGTCACTTGGTGATTTTCTTTGTCAGCACTTTGAGAGAACAGGTAGAGAGATTTCGTTGCTTGTTTCCTCTGGTGGTGAGTCTTAAAGCAAATATAACTCATCTTTTGTGTAAGAGGTCAGAATATATTTGAAATCTAGCTAAAATATTGTTTTTAAATGTAGAATCTGCTTTAAAAATGTTTTTGTTTTTGCTGTCTTTTGCCAGACCAGGGAGAATATGTATAACTTCTACCAGCATATGGAGATAGGAAAGAATCATTTTAGAATTTTATCTTGTTTGAGTACTCAGCTCTGTACAAGATCAAACAAACAAACCCCTTTTTTCTTTCCCCAAAAAGCTTATAATCTAAAAATCTGGAATGTAGTCTCCGTAGTAAGGCGGCTCCAGCAAGTATTAACAAGACCTGGCTGGATGGGAATTTAGCACTTCTAAATTTTCAAGTAATTCTCTGTTTTGAGCCAAATGTAAAAAATAAATGGTGGGGTTTTCTGTGTGGCTTGTTTTGAACCTTTTTATTTAAAGTTTGCAAACTGAGATATTGCAGCGTCTGTACTCCCTGTGAGGGGTTGGCGTGTGTTTGTTTTTATTGTAAACATGTAAGATTATTTTGAAATGATTACTGCATAAAGCCTTATTTCATTACTTGGTTAAATGAGTAAATTGGTGAAAATTTCATTGTAACAATGTAACTGAAATTGTATCCTGTCCAGGATAGCTCAGTTGAGGTCCATATATTGTCTCATGATCAGGGATCCTAGTTTTTCATGATTTAAAAAAAACAACAACAAAATTCTCAAATACACCATAAAAATTTGTGGTTTTCCATGATTAAAATGCAACGCTGAACTTTAGTTTCCCTAGCTACTGTATTATAGTAAAATATAGGTATTAGTCGCACACAATGTTTTATTGATATATTTACAATTTTAAGCAAGTTCAAAGCCTACTAGTGTCATCAATCATTATAATAAAATAAAATTTGCAGAATTGCAATTTGTATTTCTCACATATACCAAATACTTCTATGTCTGTATTGTATATTTTCAGAAGGTTTCTTTTTTTAAATACAAAAAAATAAAGCTCCCATTGTCAGCCCCGAGTGGGGAGACTCCTGCTGTCAACTGAAACCTTATTAAAAAATCTGTTTGGCCCACACAAGGTTGGGCTTAGGTTTATGTGGCCCTCCTTTGTAATAAGGTTGGGCACCAATGGAATAAGTGACACTGGTACTTTAAATAAAATTTAGTTAATGGTTAATATTTTTTTTTTTTTCACAAAATGCAAAAACTAAAAATTGTCTGTTTTTCTGTGGCAAAGGGATTTCTAGGATCCCTGCTCGTGATCACTCAATTTTATTACTAACACACAAATCAAAATTACTCTGGCACATTTTGAAGACGCTATTTGACCTTCTTTCATATCAAAGAAGCCATTGACAGCAATTTAGAAACAGTAGGCTGATGCTGAAAAGACATAAACCCAAGTGAGTTTCTCCTTTGTTTCTGTATGGGACCAGAAATAGGGAATTTCTGTGTACTGGTCACAGATTTATTTTCGATGGCCATGGGGTCAAAAGGAAAAGAACAGAAATAATATGGTATAAAGAGAAAACAGAATTGAATTGATATCTCACTCAGTTTGATTATTTCAGGTGGGTTGTTTATCGGCAAACTATGGATAGCCCTGAATGTTTCAGTGCTGCCCACTTTCAGCGTTACCTTTCAAGTGTTATTGAGTCCCAGCAGAACCGCAGCGCACGTCAGTCCAGTTACAGTAGAAAGAAAATGAGGCTGTTGGTGGTCTTGCAAGGGTAAGTGTTTCAAATGTTAGACAAGCAGTTTCTACAATAGATTCTTCTCTTCTATTCTCATTTACAAGTATTTCAAGGGTCCCCATCACTGCTTAGTAGTTCTGTCAAACACAATAAGGTTGATCTTCAGGAGAGTACACAGCTCTCAGTTCTGCTCTTCATATCTCCTGGGTTAAGCTATTTTGTAACTTGTAATTCCTGCCTGCCTTCATTGGAAGAAGGTATTTGTAAAATTTATGAGTCTTGGTTCATGTTCTGACAACAGTCAGGCTTGGCTTTGGCCTTACCCCCTCCGGTACCTGTTCAAGTGTCTGGAGCCCTCAGTAGAGAATACTTTACCTCTGGCCCTCACAGATTTCATCCTGAGTACTGATGAGAGTGTGGTTCTAGTGCAGTACCGCTTTTTTAGTGGGTCATGATAGCGAGGCACTCATCCTCCAGAAACTGATGAGAATGCATTATCTTGGTGTCCCACCCCCTCCCCTTAATCCCACTTCACATATGGTGGCCAACTAAAGGTACTGATCTCAATTTTGAAAGCCCTTGATTTTTTGAGGACCTGAGGTAAATCTTATGAACTACTTTGAGAACTGCAGGTGGAAGTTACTGTAGCCGCTATAGCATTGTTTAGTTTCTGTTGTATTTACTGTATGCATGCAAGTGTCACAAAATACTTCTCTGTTACACCCAGTAGATATCATTTATTGTAGAGAAGAAAACAATAAGGTACAGCAAAAATGTACAACAGCTTTGTGCATCGTGCAGAAAAGCTTGTTAGCTGAGCAAACATCCTACTTTTCACAATTAGTTTTATATTTGAAGGTTAAGATACTGAAAATGTTTTGAAAAATATCAATAGGGTGGAGTACCATCCCATTCCTCTCCAAGGGAAAACCTATTGTGTGGAAAATTACTTAAAAGCCTTAAAGGTTTTTGCTAGACTTTAATTTTGAGTGTCTTGAAAATATTTAAATTCAGGAAGTAAGATGTAATTGAATTCTTTGAATACCACAATTAGATTTTTCTTTGGAAAAGCATTGTAAAGATATTCTGAATAAGCCGTGCAGAAGGATTTCTAATAAATAATTTCAGGGTTTTGTGATCTAAATAAGCCATTCATTATTTTTTTCCTCAATATGAACATAAAGTAAATTTTTTGTGAGTGAGATTTTAAACACAAAAATAGATAAATGTTAACTATAAGAACTGTTATTCTTCCCTTTGCATGTGTAGCAGCTGATCTTACACTCTCTCTCTCTCTCTCTCTCTCTCTCTCAAGTGTGTGTGTGTTGTAATTTGTTATAATACCTTAATACACTAAGTGAGGCTAAGGGCTTGTCTACATGAACATTTTGTTCTCTGCAAGCTGGTGTGTGAATCTACCCCACACTAGCCTGCTACGTACTAACTGTCCATGTGTACCATGCTGAAGCACACTGACAGTTCATTAGTGTGTTTTGATCTACCCTGCTTTGAAACAGGAATACATTAAAATGCGTTAATGAACAGATATCAGCAGGGTCCATATGGACAATTAATGCACGGCAGGCTAGCGTGCAGTAGATTCATACACCGGTTTGAAGCAAACTAAATGTTCATGTAGACAAACCTGAGTTGTATTTGCTATGAGAACCATAGTTTAGGATTTCATGTCTCTTGCATTTAAAAAAATCTCAACCTTTAACTTAAATTTGCGTAATTCAAGAAACAAATCTACACATGTTAGTTTTTATTTCATTAGTTCTTATTCAGGTAAATATGCATGTGAACATGCAACAGTTTTTGCTGTTGAGTGTTCTCATACTGTCTCTGATCCAGAGTGGATTGTGCCCCGCAGAGCATGCGAACTCTGAAACTCTGATTTAGAACTGGTTGTGAAGAACAAAACCATATTCAGTTAAAACTGTTGGGGGAATTTTAAGTAGGCCTTGGTCAAATTCAGTTTCACGTAAACGTGCCTAGTCTTGTGGGGGAAAAGCTATTAGATCTTTAATGAACATGAATGGATAAAATCTGTTTTATACGTATCATCTGAAAGATGACCACTTCAACAGCACACATTAGCACCATGGTGGGAGGTGGTCAGTCTTGAATCAGAAGGAAAGGATGCTGTTTGTTCTATCATTGGCACCACACTTGGCAGCATATTCAGGTATTTGCTCCTAGCGTAATTAAGTCTTGTCCACCTTGTTGCTGCCAAGAGTGTAACAGTAATTTGTCTTCGCTGAGAAATGTTCTAATCCTTTAAAGAAATGTGTGCTTCATTTGGATTTAATATGTATGATTACTCAGCATTCCCATCAGATAACTTACACGTATGATTAAAGTGAAACCGTTTTTTCCATTTTGATTTAGAAGTAAATATTCATTTCTAAATCAGATAATACAGTAGTGGGTACCATTATAGGAGTCTAGGTCATAGCATTTTGGCGTTTCAAGTGTACAATATTTGAAAAGGATACTGTTAGGTAAACTCATGTACATTGGTCACCACTAAACTCTTTACTATTTTGTTTTGTCTAGTTTCCATTATTGGAAATACTAAGATAGCGTTCATTGTAAAGATTCTCATGCTGATTGTTTTGTAGTTTAAGAAAACTAATTATTTCTTAATATATGCCTATAAATTACATTGGTGCCAAATTCTTAACTGTTACTAATATATTTTATGGTGTTTTGGCTGTGCTCACTGTTTGCTTTTCATCATTGATAGTAAAATAGAATAGTTAGGTGAACTTTGCTTTATACCATAGGTAAATTCTCTGGGTTTAGGTTTAAATTTCTAAAACCACATCTCACCAAAAGTCTGAAGCTGAATCTATGCTAGAGAATTCTAAAAAGTTTGCAGCGTGGGCTGGTAGATCTTAGACTTCCCACATTTTGTTGGGAGCTGAACTCTGGGCGTCGACTGGTACAGAGAAACCCAATTATTAATATAATTTGAGGACTTTATTTTTAATGCCAGTAAAATAAAGGATGAGATAATTTGCCTAAAAGTAAATACTTTTCATAAACTCAATTTAGTCAATTTCATTTATTTTGTTCTCATGCACTAGTACAACGTTGAGTTACAAACACAGCGGAGGAATATTTCAATTCAAGTGGAATGTTGAAGTTGGAATTCTTTTTAAAGAAATGTCAGAGAAACATTTCTGTTGACATTGGGTTTTGTACTTCCTTTCTTTACAAAACCTACCATTTGGACTTAAATAAAATTTATTGCGTTCCTCTAAGTCTTCAGTTAACATGCACATCATATGCAGAAGGCATAATGTGAATTTCTTCCTATCTTGTTGTTTCTGTGCCTCTTGAAAGCAGAAGTTTACACTTATTCAGTATTATGTTTTCTTTGTGTAAGTCAATGTCTGAATGCCTAAATTTCTTGCATACTGAATTGTGTAACAAACATTTTCTGAGAACTCTAGTAATTTCTTCTGATTAGTTGTTGACATGGTTCTTGTATTTCTGTCACTTCACACTTCTTCACTTTGTTCTCTTTGCAGATATACAGATGTTATTGATGTTGTACAGGCACTGGAGACTCACCCTGACCCTGATGTGAAGTCCTCTTTCATCATAGGAACAATTTCTACTTGCGTAGAACCACTTAGCTGCTATATGGAACATAGGTACATTTTAAAATCTGAATTGTTTTGTGTATTGTTTGTGTATATATAGTTGGGTCTGTTCTATCATCTTGTGAGACTGATGCGACCATATTATGCTGTGTTGCTTGTGCACAGCTGTGCTGGCTTATTGTGTTGTAACTTCACAAAATGTTCTCGTTTTGAGTTTATATCATTTTAACAGAGCTTTTAAATGCAGCTTGACTTATACCTTTAATGTGGGATTGTCATCCACTAGAAAAGCAAAATTTTGTTCTCAAAAGGTTTAACTTGGGAAAAAAAATTAATGTTGGCATCTGTGGATTATGTAGGAACAAACAAAAAGAGAAACAGATTATAGTTGTTGATCTTTACAAAGCACATAAATCATTGCAGTGATTCTTCAGTGAAACTTCCTTATCCTTCATATTGCCAGATAATAAGAAACTTTTATTTCAGTTTGGGTACCTGATTAAGAAAACAAAAAGTAATAATTAAAGTCAGCTATCAAATGAAGTCACTACACATTCAAGATGTGAATTTTCTTGGTTCTCGGTTTCAAATTTTACAGAATATAGTGACAAAAGATGGGAGAGGAAATTCTGGAAGTTAGTTGCACTTCTTAGATTATTTTTAAAAAATTGGCACGCAGCCAAACAACTAATACTTTAAATAGCAAAATACACTTCATAAACTGTTCCCATGTGCCCAACCCAAACTGTAGAGATGACAAAATCTTGATACTTTGTTAAAATGCTTTTCAAGGGATGTAGAACAGAGCTGATTTTAAGACTTTGTGGTCCTAGATATAAACGCTACACACCATTTTTACAGCTATTTATGATCTCAATAAGCAGATGGGTTGATTCTAACACATGAATTCTGTCTCTTTGAGTAAATACCAAGTGCCTCCACCATAATCTTTCAATTTGACGTAGATGATGTTAACCACAAATGAAGGTTATTACTATAAATGTTTCATTAGGCGTATGATGAAAGAATTGCAGGTTATCTCCTGAAGTGAAGTAGCTGTTGATGGCAAAGACATAGCCCATGTAGTGTCTATTTCTGTCTCACTTTGAAGCTTCCTTCTGTGAGAGCTTGCAAAAGTACATAATCTGGCAGACCTAAAATGGCTTTATGCTGCAATCAGTCTTTCTGAGTTATGGAAGTTTTGAGGGTTCCAGAAGAGTAGATTGTGTCTTGCTGTCCGATTTGAACCTTTTATATTTACAAAAAGAACCTCTGTTCTCCAAAGTTTAATTACTGTAGGTATCCAATTAATTCAGGCTCTAGGGCCAAGTCATCTACAGTGCCTGATAATGGAGGGCTTTCTTTTGTTCCAGAATATTACCCCTTTACTTGAGCTCGTTACAGGTTTGATAAAGTTGATAAATGGTGTCACTGCTGTGATTGTTGATATAATGCCAGAAGTACATATGGTACCGTTGCAAAGGCTAAAATAGACCAAATACGAATTCTGCCCTAAAAAGCATGTGTGTTCTAAAGGTACAACCCAGAAGTACAACAATAACTCATGTTTAACACTGTACCTTTTCAAAGTATATACCAATCTTTTACTAATTAACGCTGTGTAATACCAGATAGACCAAACAGACTGAAAATAGTCCCTGAAACAAGAAAGCTCCATAAAATAGATTTGTTTTCCAAAAGTGCTTAGAGGCAGGGAGAGCACTTAGTAAACATGACTTGGAAGGCTATTCCAGGCCAGGGGATAGCATAAAAGAAGGCTTGAAGTTGGGACAGGGTGGTGATGCCATGTTAAGTCTAATAATAGGCATTGTTCAAACGATTGGGAGTCTTCAAACTTGACACAAGGATTATGCTTGTGTTAGGGCTCGATTTAGATTATCGATTAAATGTTTGATACCCAGGCTCAATCAGTTTATTAATGAAAGATAAATCAGTGCTATACAGAAAAGGTTAATACTTCATTCAATCCTGGGAGCAGGTTTGCAACTGACACTTGCTGTTCCAAAGTGATTATAAAAATTACCTGCTTTTATATATTAGCTATTTACCACAAACGGCAATACCTAATTATTACAGGCCTTTCTTATCTGACCTAGTTTCTTCTTCCTGTTTTTCAGGATATAGACACCTACCCCAATTACTTCTAGCACCTTATCTAGTTAAAGACACCTGTATTCATTAATCCAATTATCCTAGCACATGTTTTGTATTTGGCATCACTTCTGAAAGGTTCTGCATACGAAACAAGGGTTACATGTGGTTCAGTTGCTAATAAGCTTTCACAGTGAAGCTTCTGGGAAATGAAAAGCATGCTGGAATTTGGTTCATAGTTAGTATAAATGCAAAGAATAGAAGCCTTCTAGAAATAGATAGTATTGGGTAACTGTTGGTAGAGAGCATTCGTTCGTACCGTGATTTTTAACGTTAAGATTTCTTCTTTTGTTTTCCAGATTCCTTTTTCCTAAATTCCTGGATCAGTGTTCACAAGGTAAATAACTTTGTTTCTTTGGGAAATGATGCAGAACAAAACCTGTCAATACCCAGGCTTTAAACGTTGCATAGACCAGTGATTTCTGACTTTTTCAGCCTGAGGGCCAAACATGTATTTTGCAAAACAGTCAAGAGGCCAGTATCAATACTTTGAGGTACATTCTTTGTCCTGCATAGCTGCCTTCGATGCCTCTCTCCCCCCACCAGATAGCTTGGGAGGGAGGAATGGCTGGAGTATAAGGCATTTCAACTATCCGCAGATGGAGTGTGGTCCCTAGGGGGCTGTTGTCAGCTGGCACAATGTAGAGCTGCTGCCTGGCTCCTGTAAGCTGGGCTCTGACAGAGAATCAGCAAGCTAAAACTAACTGTTAGTTCTTGGTTTCTAAGAACTGAGTAAAAATGTGTACAATATGAATATTGACTTATGAAAGTCATCTGCATAAAGGTAAGTATTGAAATTTCATTAAAACCTACAACAATTACTACTTTTTCTTACTACTGAAAGAGCTTGTGAAAGTAGATTGTTGTCCAGTAGCTGTAGCTAAATAAGAAATACTCTGCTTTAATACAGTATTAGCGTTTGGTTCTACTCTGAAAAGTGATTAAAAATGGCACCACGTTCAGAAGATCTGTTTTGTGGCTGTGTTCCGTCACATCTGCTTGCTTTGAAACAAAAACACGTGTTTACTATTTTCTCTGGTCACAATGGGAAGTCAGAACAGCTGTGGGTATGACCTGGGTTCTGTCCCTTCTCATGCCTCATCAAGCAAATTGTTATTTAAGTTCCAAATGGGAGATTTTTTTTGCCAGCCTGCAAATTCAACCTGAGATCTGAAAGTTAATCTCTGTTCTTGCAGATCATCAATGGTAGGAAAGATTCTGCAGCCCGTTTTCTGCCTTCAGTTACGCCTGTGCAGTTTTATTGTATTCACTGTATTAAACATCCTTCTGTCTGGCCTTGACATATGCAGTCTGCCCTATTCCCTTCACTGGCCCCCCTTCTCAGTTGCATCAAACACAAGCTGCTTGTCTTCACTTAAAAGGTCCTTTATGGTCAACTTATCTTTCCCCTACTTACCTCTCAGTTGCTGTTGATTTGTGGACACTCTGATCAGCCCATGATGCCAGCCTCCACTGCCTACTTGTTTAAATTCTCAAATAAGTACCTTCATGCTTTCTCCCGTGCTGCCTCTCCTGCTTGAGGCACTCTCTATAAACATCTGCCAAGCTACTTCATTATTCACTTTCAAATCCCTCCCCAAAGCTTTCCTTTGCCATGATACCTACAAAAACTTGACAGTGGTTAAGCTGCTGGTGTGCTGTGACCATTGCCTATCATCAGTATTGTTTGAAGTTCTCTGTGCTTGCTGTTCTATCCTTTAGCCTCTCAATCCCAATTTTATTATCTGACAATGTAGATGCTTCTCAAATTAGTCTAAGAACCTCTTAAGATAAAGATATTAGAAGGTCCAATTCTGACCTTTATAATACCTCCCGCCATAAGTAGTTCTACCTTAAATGGTTTGCTCTTGCAAGTACCTTCTATTTTGTCTCATGTTAATGTCCATGGCACAGGGGAAATACCTGAAATTGTTTATAAATTGGACTCGGGACATGAGGGAATTTTCAAGTTCAGCACTACAGCCTGGGAGTTACTAGGGATCTTGCACCCTGTGCTCCGCCATCCCTTGGGTGAGGTATTAGACAGAAGTTCCTTAAGTTGTAATTCCTCTTCAGTGTAATTCTGCTCAGAAATTAATGGTTCCTGTGGTACTTTAAGAAAAGAGAAGGGTGATGACACCAATATGCCAGCCAACATTCTTTCCCTTAATAAAATTGGTTCTGGTACCCAAGGCTTATTGGCGATAGAAGCTAGGATGTTATTTCTGATTCCCTTCAGAAGGCATTTGCAACAGCAGCAGCTAGTTCCAATTTAACTTGTAATTTGTCTCCATGCTGTACTTGTTCACTAGGTGTAAAAGGGCATCTTCTGTATTCAAATCCAGGAAGGTTCCTGTAAATGAAAATAGTAACTGTTGTTTAGCCCTAAGTCTGGGAGAACAGATAGCCTCATGATTTTAAAGAGGGAATTTCTCTTTATGGCAGCACCAGCTGAAGTCTGTTACTTTTCTCCAAGGTTAGACTCAAGGAAGTTAGGTGTCCCATTAGTATTTTTCCAGCTGTTATCCTCATGGCATCTTGTGGAACCGTCATGGAGTGGAATGCAAACTTGGTGTCTAAAAGAACCATTTTGAAAATAGAAAGGAAAAATATTTTCTATTTTTGTTTCTAAAAGTGACAATTGTCTGAAGTCTCAGCTCTAAAATGGTATGGACGAACATCGAGCTTGCCAGGAGGCTTAAATGTTCATTTTTCTTTAAGTCCAATTTTATTAAATTGGCTTTTTCCTTCCCTTTTATTTATTTCTTTTAAATTGGTTCTTGCGCTAACTGATCAAACTTGGCTTCTGTTCAATGATACCACCTGATCTTTAAAAATCTGAAGGAATCCTGCTATCTGTTGCCAGAGCAAGTGTCGTATTTAGCAAAATCGACCCCTGCAACGGTAGAGAGCTGCACTAGACCAGTAATTTCAGTGTTTTAAGAGTTCCTGAGTCACAGGAGTCCAAAGATTCAGATTCCTACCCCTACATCATCCTCCCCCCTGCGCCACACACACAGGTTGTCTGAGGTCCTAGGTAGTCTGGCAGTAAAGTTTCTTAGTGATTTAAATATTTTAAAAAATCATACCTAGGAGTTCCACTGTAATGGGGCTTTGAAAGGAGCAAGTGGGCTAATTCCACTAGATAAATCCTTGTCCACGTGAACTCTAGACTACAGAAGAAGCTACATTTGTATACACAGGCAGCATATGATAAAGTGAACTCTTTCTTCTTCTTTTGTATTATCGTAGTGCCTAGGAGCCCTTTCTATTGACTAGGACCCTCTGGTGTTAGGTGCTGCACAGACATTGCAGTCTCTGCCTCAAGAAGTGTGGACAAGCAATAACAGATGGATACTGACAGACGGGAGAATACAAGGAAACAATGAGATAATATTGGTCAGCATGGAGCTGCTGGGTCTTAGGACACCAGCAGCCTAATCACTGTCAAGTTTACATTTATAGTGAAAATGAAGATTTAGGGACCTGAGGATCCCTTTATTTCTCCTACTTTAATCTCCTGATTCTGAAAATGTTGCAGTATCAGTATTGCATCTGAAGATGATGATTTACTGCAGAGGTCATCAGCACCTTTTCTGAAAGGGATGCAGATGTGACTCAACTGACAGAAATGCAAAGGGATAGGACAGGTGTCAAATCCTGTTCTTCCCTCACCCAAAGATAGCGTAGACCACTGGCTCTCAACCTTTCCAGACAACTATACCACTTTCTGGAGTCTGATTTGTCTTGAGTAATCCCAAGTGACACCACTTAAAAACTACTTGCTTACAAAATCAGACATAAAAATACAAGCATCACAGCACACTATTACTGAAAAATTGCTTGCTTACTTATTTTTACCCTATAATTCTAAAATAAATCAATTGAAATATAAATATTGTATATACATTTCAGTGTATAGTATATAGAGCAGTATAAACAAGTCATTGTCAGTACAAACTAAAATTTCATACAGGCTTCGCTAGTGCTTTTTATGTAGCCTGTTGTAAAAGTAGGCAAATATCTAGATGAGTTGTTGTACCCCCTGGAAAACCTCTGTGTACCCCCAGGGGTATGTGTACCCCTGGTTGAGAACTACTGGCGTAGACTAGCACTGTCACTTGTACAGCGGGATGATAGATGTCTTTGAAATTTCTCATGGAAGTAAGCCTTTCCTTTGCTGCATCAAAAGTAGTAGTGATTCTTTGTCTTCAGAGCACTTCACAAGATTGAGCCTCAGAGCTTCATTGTGAGGGAGGTAAATATCCCCATTTTACAGATGGGGAAGCTGAGTTAGAGTGGCACAGTAAGTTGCTCAGGGCCATACAGTCAGTGAGAGAACTGAGATTAGAACTCCACAGTTCCAAGTCCGAATGAGTAGAATACGATACCTTTCACAGAGTAATGTTCTTTAAGTGATTGGTTTTGAAACCCTCCGTTTTATGTAGTGTAGGAGACTGTAACAATATCTCTGGACATTGATGCTGAACACTGGTTATGTATCACTTTCTGCCTTGTCCCTCCAAAACTCTTCCCACTAAAGACCACCCCTGCAAAGGGGTGAATATTTTAAGGTGGTGATTTTTTTTAACCGCTTGTAAGACCGGTGAGGAATATTGGTACTCAGTGTGTTTTGAGACTGGTATAACAAAGTATGAGCAGCATGATGCCGGCAGTAGCTTTGGTATTACTTAATTGCTGTTATCCAGTTATTGGTTGGCTTCTCTAAGGTGGAAATGCCTACCAGTGGTTACTCTCCATTTAAGAACAGAGGTTTTTCTCCTCTAAACTTCTCTTCTTTTTGACTATCAAACAACTGTATTCTGGTTGGACTGTACACTAAATATTCACAAACAAATGCTTGCTTATGTGCATAACTTTACACAGGTAAGTAAAGTTAAGCGCATACTGAAGTGTTTCTGGGATGGGAGCCCAAATTGGTATAATCTTATTTCCTAAATACGCTATTCCTTCTTTCTACCTGCAACCTGTTATGTCTTGTCTCTTTCAGGTTGTAAGATTGTTGGAGTTCAGGGACTTATTTTCTATATATTTGTATAATGCCTGACACAACTGACAACTCTTCCCTCTTTCCCCCCCCCCCCCCCAACCTCCTTGGCCCCTAGAAGATACTGCAATATAAATGTTTAATAATTCAGAATAATTAAATCTGTTGATTGTTCCGCGTAACTTGCTCAAAATGCTATCAGTTTTAGATTTTCTCATTTTTAATAAGCTTTCCTTATGGGGGTGAGATGCAAACAAATACAACTTACGGTCGATAAACTGAGTAGTCAGTTGCTTGACCATACTTTGATTCGTTATGAAATATATTCAAGAGGTGAAATAACCAGTCAGGTTTATTGCTCTAAGCCAATAATAATATCGCATAGGGAAAAGGTTCTATCTATGATACCAGCCTCCAGGAAACTCTCATGCAGCGACATTATATTCACTTTATACAGATGGAGTGCTCCCAAAGTTGCAAGTTTCAGCTGGTGTTAATTTTATGATGATTTTTTTTTAAACAGGTTACACAACTCTTTACGTGTCACTAAATTCCAACCCATTAGTTTGTCCCAGTTCCCTAACTAGTTATTCAGTTCCTTCTTTATCTTTGTTTTGGATATTAGCATTCCAGGTACTGATCTATGAAGGTACTTCACTAGCTTGTACTAAGACCTAGAACAAATTTATCTTGATTTTGACCAGTTTCCTATCTGCTTAGGCCAGATATTTACTTCAGTAAATTAAGTGTTATGGGATACTTAGCATAAAGTGAACGGGATTATGGTATAGGCCAGTTTAGGCTGTATCACTGTTAATATATTTGTGCTTGATGTTATTGGTGCTTAATGCAGGGGTGGGCAAACTTTTTGGCCCGAGGGCCACATCTGGGTATGGAAATTGCATGGCAGGCCACGAATGCTCATGAAATTGGGGGTTGGAGTGCGGGAGGGGCTGAGGGTTCCGGCTGGGGGTGCAGGCTCTGGGGTGGGGTTGGGGATGAGGGGTTGGGGGTGCAGGAGGATGCTCTGGGCTGGGACCAAGGGGTTCGGAGGGTGGGAGGGGGATCAGGGTAGGAGCGGGGGTCAGGGGTGCAGGCTCCAGGTGGCACTTAGCTCAAGCAAAGCAGCTCACGGAAGCAGCGGCATCTCCCCCCTGTGCCTCCTACACGGAGGCACAGCCAGGCGGCTTGGGGAACTGCCCCATCTGCAGGTGCCCCCCCTGCAGCTCCCATTGGCCATGGTTCCCAGCCAATGGGAGCTACGGAGCCCCTTGGCTGACCCTATGCATAGGAGCCAGAGGGGGGACATACCGCAGCTTCCGGGAGCTGCGCGGACCCACAGCACATGCGGAGTGGGGCAAGCCCCTGGCTGGAGTGCCAGAGCGGAGCAAGCCTCGGACCCCGCTCCCCAGTAGGAGCTCGAGGGCTGGATTAAAACGTCTGAAGGGCTCCCGGGCCATAGTTTGCCTACCCCTGGCTTAATGCATTCCTACATAAATACACTGCTCCATGTGTATATATATGCTAGCCAGCATATACTGATCAACGGTTACAACCTGGAAAAGTGTTTTTGCTATACCACTTAACCAGCATATGTTTATTATTGTTCTCCATCATTGTAGACCTTATTTGAGTGAACTGTTCCGCAATTTCCTCATGCAGGACTGGTGAGCAATGTGGTCTTCACAAGTCATACTACAGAGCAGAGACACCCACTCCTTGTACAACTTCAGAGCCTCATACGAGCAGCAAATCCTGCTGTTTCATTTATCTTGGCAGAAAATGGTCTTGTAACTAGGTAATACTAGCTTCCAGTTCTTTGATTTTCAAGTTGCTGTTGTAAAAATGGGAAACTCTCTTACAAGAAAAGCTGATCCTCTTTGACTTTCACCTATGAACAGAAAGTGGACTTAGTATGTAAACCAGAAAAATGCTTATTTTTCTTAGTCATTACTTCCCTGATAACAGGATACCTCATCTGTTCTTAGAATTTTGACATTTTAAGAATGTCATCTACACTTCAACCAGATGTTCTGATACAGCAGGATACACTAAGGATTTAAGTGTCAAAGGAATACATTAAATGGCCATAAGCTAGAAATAGTACAGTATGATTTAGGAAAAGTTAAGGTTTAAAATGGATGCATCTTTTTATTTGCAGAGTAATTTTCATGTTAGGTTTTTCTTTATACAGCAGTGCAGGTAAAATTCTCTTTCTACAGATTGTAGGTTTATATTAATATTTGTTCCGTTAGAGCTCAATTGTGCAACCTCTACACATATTGAGTAGCATGGATGAGTAAATCCACTCAACTTTAATGGGACCAAACTCAGTGAGTAAGTCCTACTCAGCATCAATAAAAGTTGAATTGAGGATCCTATAAAGTTCTTATAAGGGCTTTTTTGCTGTGTTATATATTTTATTTAGTATATTTACTTGTATTCTAGTTGCAAATAGAAAATTAGTTGAGTAGAGAACTCCTGGTTTTTTTTGTTTTGTCTGGAAAATTGAGAATATTTTAATGTACCATAAATAGTAAACATATAATTATTTTACTGCAATCTGACTAGCACATCCTAATTTATGTAAATAGTTGACAGATAAATGACCATTGTTACCATGTTCTGTAAATTAAAAATCTCAACCTTTTATCTTTCAATAGGAATGAGGATATTGAGCTAATTCTCTCTGAAAGCAGTTTTTCAAATCCTCAGATGATGAGAGCTCGCTATTTAATGTATCCTGGCTGGCAAGTATCTTAACTGAGAAATAATAAAAAAAAGCATTTTTTAATTAACATGAAGGATTTTAAAAGCCCCACTAGCTTATATTTTCAAGACAGTTCATACGTGTGGACCAATCACTTTGTAAATGTCTTTTTTTTAAGAGCTTGTGAGTAGTCGTTTTAGAGCCACTAGTGCCATCTTTTGCCTACTTCGGATCCTCTTCTGTTGCCTTTTAAATGGGTGGCAAAATTGCTATTAATTTCCGTGAGAGCAAGAGCTAGCCCTGTGAGAATAAGAGGAGTTAGGGCAGTACTGACTTGAAGTAAATTCAGTCTGACAGCTGTTCAGCCTAAATGAAATGATCTAGTGGTATTGTTTCAGTTACTAGCAGACAGTTATCCCCAGTGGAATATCCGCATTCTTGATTGGCAGCCTCGGCGGAGGCCAAGGACAGAAAATTCATGGAAACAGAACTCCGTTCTAACACCTAGTGATATCTTCTACAGTTCGGGCTTGCAACACATTGCTGGGGATGGTATGTTGTTGCTGCCGTCTGTGCTGTATCTGTGTGGCAAATAGAGGATTTCATTCTCCAGAACTGCCAACCTGGCACCAATCCCAAATCCTGACCAATTCAGTTTTCTAGTTACATTTAGAGCATTAGAGGCATAGTGTGCAGCACTTCAATCAACATACCCTGTCAGTCCAGAACAGCTTCTATTCTTCTTGTTCAGAATTAATTACACCTTGACTCCAAACTGGGTTTGAGAGAGGCTTCTTAAGTAAACCAGCATGGAGTTATGTAAGGGCAAGCCTTTTTGTAGATCACATATCACTCCAAAGGGAAGAGGATTGGGTTGGAGAAGAAACTGTTTCAAACCTCTTGACTCTGACATTCTCTCTCTTAATGTAGTGCACAGGGGAAAAAAGTGCTAACAGCAGGAACTTCATTGAAGTGGTTCCTGATATCAATCATGATACAAATTTACATATATAATTCTTACCTTGTTTACAGTTTGTATTTCTCTTACATGCAATGAATTTAGTTTTTCTCTTCGTGAAAGCTCCTCTGTTGTTAAAATAACTAATTCTTCATCTTTAGAAACTTGTTAGATAAAAAGCAGATAAAGCATGATAATAGAGCCTTACAGGAACTTTGATTGCTCACGTGAAGACTGGGGAAACGAAATCAAAAATATCTTTGGCAAATAAAGTTGATTTCCCTTTTTCTCTTTTTTTGTTAAAAAGGTATGATGGTAAGTTTGGAGCTGGTTCTGTCTTCCCACCAATGGTTCAGATCTGTGTGTGGTTTAGCCGTCCTCTGGAAAAAACACGATTTGTGACCAAATGTAAAGGTAAAAATGTTTTTTGGTGACTTTAAGATCTAAAATATTGTGGGTGTTTAGTTAATGTAGGGAGACCCTGTGCTATGCTAATCATGAATAATATGAATTTTTATTTAGAATGTGATTCCTCCTCTTTAAAGTACTTCCATATGCTATGTATTTTGACTTTCTTGTCTATTCTGGAAACTTTAAAAAGACTCATGACCTTGTTTAAATAAGTGTAATCTTTTAATATTAAATCTAACATTTAGTGCGTTTGAGGGTAATTATCCCATAGACTTTGATACTTAAAAGCTTTTTCTAAGTTGAAATAAACACTTTTCTGTTTTCTTGCGTTAAAGGATAGCTATCTTGTGACTATATACAATCATTCTTTGCAATGATTACAAAATTAGACTGCTGCTAGAGTGAATATGTGCTTTTAGAGCAGAAATGTCTTTCCGTCTGTCACTTTAAAAATTGTTTTTCTGAGAATCTTCTTTCTCTCCGCACTAAGAGTCAATTATGTGGGAGGGATACTTTTTTATTATAGTACCCTTCGAGCATATATCCTTTTCTCCCCCATAGGGAAGAGAAGTTACGAATAGTGTGGGCTTCAAGGGACATAGGATAGCAGATAGTATGAAGTGGGTTATTTAGAGATTGGGACTCTAACCTTCTACCGCTAGCCAAGGTGAACTATGCTGAATGAGCTGCACCAGGGAAGAGAAAAATAAGTTAAATAACCTGTTTTTGTTTTTATTTCATACAGCAATTAAGTCATCAATTAAGTCAAGTCCTTTTTCTGGAAACATATACCACATTTTGGGCAAAGTTAAGTTTTCAGGTAACTGTAGTGTACTTATTATGCATGGTCTTGAGATTACACTACTTGTTTTCACCTACTCCTAGAATACTAAAATATATCATTTGTAGTTGTTTGGTTCGTAAAGGAACCACACACATCTGTGCACATATGCTACCTGCTATATCAGCCCAGTGTATAAAGAAAATATCTTCTCTTTTTGGTAGATTCTGATAAGATGATAGAAGTCTGTCATAACACATCATCTAATTCATTAAGCCTTGTGCCTGTTCAGGAGGGGCCTACTCCTCCTGATTCAAGAAATGATAACCGAGATCGCAGCGGTCAGCAAGAGTGCTTCCTTGTGTTCATTGGCTGCTCTCTTAAGGAAGAGGATATAAAAGACTGGCTCAGGCAAACTGCAAAGCAGGTTTGTGGACACGCAACTGTTGGGATTTTTTTTCTGTGTTGCCTGGTTTAAAAATCCAAAGAGAAATTTGAGTGTTTTAATATTCTTATTGTTAAAGTAGACTGGTAACTGATTATAACTATGTCCTGCATAGCGCACACATGATTCTACCATTAGAAATGATCTTTTCAACAGGATGGCTGAAAAGGCTTATCAGTGCCACCTGTAATTCGAACTTTATTTTTAAAACATGTCACAGCATATTCACGGTGAGAACTCTTTGCTGCAGAATACTCCATAGCAAATTGAGTATGCGAGTATGTCCCGATAAACCCAAGAAGACTTGGACTGAGGGCTGGTCCACACTAACCCCCCAGTTCGAACTAAGATACGCAATTTCAGCTACGTGAATAACGTAGCTGAAGTCGAAGTATCTTAGTTCGAACTACAAGGTACTTACCGCGGGTCCACACGCAGCAGGCAGGCTCCCCCGTCGACTCCGCGTACTCCTCTCGCGGAGCAGGAGTACCGGTGTCGATGGCGAGCACTTCCGGGATCGATTTATCGCGTCTAGACAAGACACGATAAATTGATCCCAGAAGATCGATTGCTTACCGCCGAACCCGGAGGTAAGTATAGACGTACCCTGAGACATGGTTGTCCTTCATATGGGTGGGGTCCAGAGTAGCCTAAGCTCAGACAGACAATTCCAGTGTGTGGAATCTGCACTTGGGTGTAATGATAATGAGTAGCAGTGACCACTATAGTTAGTGTATAACTGTTTCCATTCCTCCCTCCTGTTCTCGATTGCTCAAATTTTGATCTTCTGGGCTTACATTTTCCAGGCTTGGTCTGTTCTTGACAGTGAAGATTTTTTTTAAAAAAAAGGTTTTGAGCAAAAACTATTCAGCTATTTTTCATCATGAGACAATTTTTTTGGTGGAAGGGGATGTGTTCTCTTCCCGTTTTTAAAACATTTTGCAAACTGCTGTGGAAAGAAAGTTTAAATATAGCATGGAACTAACCTGTGTTCAGGTGAAACCTGGTTTTGATTTACACTGCCTTGAAAATCATATGTTCAGGTTTTTTTGCTAAGTTTGTAAAGTGGGCTGTTAAGTAAGTCCAAAATGTGTATATGTGTGTGGCTAACATAGCACATGGTGAAGAGTAAAGGGTTGGGGGATGCACTTTGTAAGATGGGCAGGGGTGTCTTGTTTCTGAGGGTACGTCTTCACTACTCACTGGATCGGATCGGCGGGTAGTAATCGATCTATCGGGGATCGATTTATCGCGTCTCATCTAGACGCGATAAATCGATCCCCGAACGCGCTCCCGGTCAACTCCGGAACTCCACCAGAGTGAGAGGCGGAAGCAGAGTCGACGGGGAAGCCACGGCTGTCGATCCCGCGCCGTGAGGACCCGAGGTAAATCAATCTAAGATACATCGACTTCAGCTACACTATTCTCGTAGCTGAAGTTGCGTATCTTAGATTGATCCCTCCTCAGTGTAGAACAGCTCTGAGATATTATAGGGACTGCAATCAGTGCTCCTGTAGGCTTTTTAGATGCTGTGACCAGTCTGAGCTCCTGAGGAGTATGGGAAAAGATGTTGTTACGGTGCTTTCCAATCAAATAGTTCCAAAGTACTGGCGAGTGACTCTCTTTGAATTCTTTTTTTAAAGAAAACTCCATACAAAAACTGAGAACATGAAGTTTGCACAGTACAGCACTTGAGCCAGGAACTATTAAAATTATGGTTGCACACATTGCATTAACTCTAGCTCCTTGTCCATACACATTTTGGTACAATCTTTAATTAGATGGTCATGATTTCTCTGATGCAAAAAAAAATTGTAATATATTGTAACTATAAATTTGTATGTGTAGCATCTTGGAATGCAGCGTAGGCTGAGAAGTTGACACTGCTACTTCTATTCCTCCAGCATGGGGTGTGGTTTCTTTTCAAGTGGGAAATGTACATGCTGTATGTACACAAATGTTATTTCTAAATCATGCTGCTTCTTACATGCCAGCGGCATTTGTCCGTTCTGAGACTGAGTTCATGGAAGATTGGACGTTTTAAAAATAAGCAAATTTCTCCCAGGATGAAAAACACTCCCCTTTTTCAACTAACTCAGCAGTGATTGAGCTGAATTTATCAGACCTTGAAAATAAAAGCATAATCTTTGGACTGAGAACAAATATGAGAGATTTTAACTCAACCAGTAACGCTCTCAAAAATGTACAAACCTCTGTAAATGGGATTTATCATGAAAGTGCCTTCTCATCCCCTACAACATCAAAAGTAGAGACTGATTCAGGGGTTTTAAATAATTTAGTATTTCAGTTTCTGCATATTGCCTAAAGAATTGAGGTATAGGCCTCTTTATTAAGTCTAAAAACTTGATTGCTCTGCCTCTTATGTGATTTTTGTGTTTTTTACAATAGCTTATTTAACTAGTTTAGTTAAAATACCTTCAGAATTTTTGTTCTATTCTGTTAACTAAACCACATTTATATAAGATTCTTGAGTTTTTTACACTTGTATTTGTAAAAATTGAATCTAGAGTGCCTTAAGTAAACAAGGCAATTCAATAACCGTGTCCACTTATTAGCATTCATATACATTTTTTAAAAATACCTTGTGTTAGGATTAACCACAATTATCTGGGATTACATATTGCTACCTTTTTCATATTTGTGGTAGTTGTACTTTTCTGGTTGCTTGCTTTTTGGGTGTTTTGGTACCTTAATTATAACATAATGTGATGTTGCCATGAGCATTAAAAGCATTATTGGTATCTGAATCTATGTATAGAAACCTCAGAGGAAAGCCCTGAAAACCAGAGGAATGCTGACTCTGCAGGAGATCAAAAACATTCATGTAAGTACAAGCCATTAGCATCAAGGCTTCGTTTTGACCCTCACTTCCTTAAGTACCCATGTATATGATAGAAGACTATAGCAAGAACTGTGTTCTAAGTTTCTGACTTGATGCATGCAAAACTATTTTTCCTGATGCTGTTAAGCTTCCAGATAAGTGGTGGGAGTGCTGTGTAATTGCATTAGTTTCCAAATAACCCAATTCCATAATAGAGTTTTGGAAGTGGGAGCATGGGGCTATCACATCATAGCAATAATCACATTTTCAGAATAATGATGAATGTATTTCCATTAATTCTTGGTAGCTATATAGATACATACTGTTTGTTCATCTCCGCTGTCCTCTGCGTGTGAGAGGCAAAAATAAACTCATTGAAGATCGTTCTTTCTGTGGACACTCTATTAGAGTGCCCTTGCAGCTGCTACTGTTAAGCTGTCAGTTGCTGGTCTTCCTGCTGGTACAGCCTGTTTTTAGACAAACCAGGAGTATTTACAAGTTACTCTGTGGCTTCCTGTTGGAATAGAAGGTGATTAAACACTAAAACCTCCTGTATGAAATGTGGAGTTTGTCAGGGAAGCATCTGGTCATGTCACAGGACTGGAAAAAGATCCTTATAATCATAAGCACTTAGTGCCTCAATCTTAGATGTTTGCTCTTTAGTATATATCTTGAAGTGGTAATGCATCTGGAATAGAACCATATATCTCTGGTCAATAACAAGCAGGAAAGAAAATGGATTTAAGGATCTGATATGGGAAACTAATAGTACTTGTATTTACATGGCAAGCTACTCAGCATTTTTGAGCCTATACTCTTCTTGCGTTTTAATGAAAGTTTATTTTGATTATCTGTCCTCACAACAAATATATGGATAGTTGCAGGAGATCTTTGTGGAGAGTCAGTTTGGGAAATGGCACAGGGTGCAAAGCTGTTAAAGGGACAGCCTAATGACTACGTGCAACTTATTTCAAAATATATCAGTTTTAAATTGAATTAAACAAATGTTTGATAAAAGCTTCATGTTACCCAGGTCTGTATATGTTTCAAAATTAGTTTGAAATGCAGTGAAGTCTATGCAACAGGCTGCCTTAGGAAACCTGTCATAAGAGACCATCCAAAAGCAACCCCAAAACTACCTTTATTATAAGGTCACCTCCATGAAGCAACCTGTTTCTTAGTTCTTTAAGTAGTTAAGACATATTTTAATGTATTTTTAAAGCATTCTCTGTTCTGCATATAAGGACAATTACAATACATTATACTACCATGACTCAGTGACTCCACTCCTCACCCCGCTTTTGTTGCTTAAGGAATTAGTGCTCATGCCACCATTCTCTTAAATAGAATGAGGACTGATGTACAGAGTGCACAGAGTATTTATACAATGAGTGTTCCCTCATTTCCTAGGCAATCGTGGAGATACAGTCCGAGATGTTCAGATATTACGGGGACAGGAGTGATGTAAGCACCTTGGCTGTTAGATCTAGATTCTCAATTAATAAAGGATTAGAGGGTAATGTAATTGATGCAAATCAACATGGGTTTATGAAAAATAGGTTCTGTCTAACTTGATCTCTTGTTTGAGATTACAAGTTTGATTGAGAAAGATCATAGTGTTGACATAATATACTGAGACTTCTGTAAGGCTTTGACAGACATGACATTTCGATTAAAAACCTAGAAGGACCTAGAACTAACATGGCATATATTAAATGGATTAAAAGCTGGCTAACTGTCAGGTCTCAATGTAATTGTAAATGGGGAAAAGTGATCCAGCAGATATGGTTCCAGGGAGGTGCCGCAGGGATCAGTTCTTGGCTCTATTTTATTAGTGATGTGGAAGAAAACATGGGCATCACTGATAAAGTTTGCAGATGATACAGATTTGGGGTAGTGGTAAATAATGAAGAGGACAGGGAACTGATATGGAGCGATCTGGATTGCTTGGTAAACTGGGCACAAGCAAACAATATGCATTTTAATATGGCTAAATGTAAATATATACATCAAGGAACAAAGAATGTAGGCCATACTTACACAATGGGGGACTCTACACTGGGAAACAGTAACTCAGAAAAAGATGTAGGGGTCATAGTGGATAATCAGCTGAACATGTGCTCCCAATGTGATGTGGCCAAAAGAGCTGATGTGATGCTGGGATATATAAATAGGGGAATCTCAAGTGGGAGTAAAGAGGTTATTTTACCTCTGTATTTGGCACTGGTACAACTGTGTTTGGTGTTTGCAGTTTTGGTGTCCACAATACAGAAGGTTGTAGATAATTTTGGAGAGGGTTCAAAGAAGAGCCACAAGAATGATTCAAGGATTAAAAAATGTTTTATAGTGATAGACGCAAAGAGCTCAATCTATTTAGCTTAACAAAGAGACAGTTATGGGTGACTTCAGTACAATCTATAAGTATCTACATGGGGAACAAATTTAATAGGGTCTTGAATCTAGCAGAGAAACGTGTACATTGATCCAATGGCTGGAAGATTTACCAAGGCTCATGATGGATTCTCCATCACTGACGATTTTTAAATCGATTGGATGATTTTCTAAAATATGTGCACTAGGAATAATTTTGGGGAAGTTTTGTGGCCTGTTATACACAAGGTCAGACTAGACGATCCCAGTGGTCCCTTCTGGCCTTGGAAACTATTAATCTATTCTGGATTGAGATGAACAGGGCCAGTCCGTGTCTCTTGAGTGGTTTGTCTGGAGACCCAAGAAGATAGCCCTGTATCAGTTAACATTCACGGCTTGTTCAGACTAGGATAAAAGGCATGTTTTTAAATTATATTAGCTAGAATAGGGTAGGGCTAACTTGCCCTTTCCAAACTAGCGTTGCATTGTTTCGGCTAACAAGTTTTCAGAGTATACCATTTATCCTAGTCTAGACATGCCCTTAGGGTCCTCTTTTACAACCAAGAGGACAATAAATGTTTTGGGTTTTTTTCCCTCAATTTTCCTAGTAGAAAATTAAATTACAAGGTAACAGCTAAAGATACTGCAATCACGTTAGTATTTAAGCCTGTTTTGCAAATGTCTACCTCATTTAAACAAAAGGTCAAGCACTTTTGTACTGGGTTGGTAAGTTTCTGAACAGAGGCATCCCCCTTCTGTTTAACTGCATAGATTTACATACCCATGTTTTAGACTGCCTACATGTCTAATGGTACAGTATTTGCCTTTGAATGCAGATGAAGCGCCACTTGGATCCACTTCCAGCTGGTTACTTTTACAATGGAACTCAGTTTGTGAATTTCTTTGGGGACAAGATGGATTACCATCCACGTATCCTTTAATATGTATTTAAATTCATGAGTATTTTTGTAGAAAGTATGCTGCAGATTTAGACAAAGCTGACATATGGAATATTGAGGCAGAGCATTATCCTTAAAAGAGCCAACTGACTAGCTGGTGATCATGCATAGTGAAAGATTTTGATGTTTTGAATCAGCATATGACCATTTGCCGTATCAGGCTTTAACATTAATAGATCACTCCTACAGTCACAGTGTAAGAAGCTGAATTGAACAAACCATAGGTCATTAGATCATATAGAAAATCAAGTACAGTATAATCCTGATTTTTTCAAAAACCCTGTTATCTGAATCCCTTCTGTCTCCGTGCTCTGCATTAGGATAATGTGGAGGTTCAGATGATAGAGCAGAGACCCCCGGCCCTGGTGGAGGCCACCCTGTTGCTGAATGGCCTTTGCAGCAGCTCAGGAAGCCTTGTGCAGCCCTCCTGTCATGGGACTGAGTGAGTGGAGCCATGACAGCAGAGCTGCAAGGGCCCCTGCACTGCTGCAGGGCTGGTGACACCTGATCCCTGCATGTGCAAGGTCCTGGTGGGGCAGATGGAAGCAATGCCCAGAAGTCTCCACTTTGCCCCATCAGGGCCGCAGCCTTCCTCTCCTCCCCTCCCCACTCCCCACCCCTTGCGCTTGCAACAATCAAGAGGGTAGTCCTGGTGTCATGGGAGTGAGTGAGCCTGGCCGTGAGCTACAGAGGGCTCCCTGCACTGCCACTCCTGCCCTCTCAATTATCCAAACTCCTGATTATCCAAACAAAATCTGTGTCCTCTGTGGTTTTCAGATAATCGGAAGCATACTATCTCCCCCCTCCCCCCCAAAAAATCTCAATTTAAACCAAATAATCCCTTAACTACCTTTCAATATAATGTGTCACAAAAAGAATGTATACTTGGAGAAACCCCCCAAAAAAGACAGCAAGATCTCTGGCTACAAAAATATCTCATTCTTATTCCTTGGATGTTGAAGTTTCATTAATGTAAAAAACCTTCTAGCCTGATTGATGTGGAAAAACCTCACATGCATAGGAACTAATCACTGTATCTTCAGAGTGCGCACACAAATAAAATCAGAAGCATGTGCGTGATTACCCTCCCGTATTACTTGTGCATTAAAATATGGCTGCACTTGCTTCATTATTTAAAAACCCTTGCTTGGGTTCTGCACCCTTTACTTGATATCAGCAACCAGCTATGGCGAGCATACACTGAACTCTGAAATTAGCTATCTTTGTTTTCTTAGATCAACAGAATTGGTTCCTTGTCAGGACAAAATAAAATATACCAACATCCAAGGGGCTTTTTTTAGCTTTTCCTGAATCACACTGATTACTTTTTTACCTGAACTGGAGTATTGGATGGTTTCAGAGTAGTAGCCGTGTTAGTCTGTATCCGCAAAAAGAACAGGAGTACTTGTGGCACCTTAGAGACTAACAAATTTATTAGAGCATAAGCTTTCGTGGAGTATTGGATTTTCTCTCAATATTTGGCAATAACTCCAGAGTCATATTAACAGACCTCCACTGTACAATTCCTCATGTGTTTATCACATTTTCTAATATTTTTATCCTAAGATTCTCTCTAAACTATTATTTATTATTATTTATTTGTATTATTGTAGTGCCTAGAAACATTTGCATTAGGTGCTGAAGAAAGAGACCATCAGTCACAAACAACTTACCTCAAGTCTCCTTTTATGTTCTCAATTTCGTTTTTTATTTCTTGATCTTCAGTAACTGATTGATTGTAATTTACTTGGAAAGCTGCAGGTGGATACTTCAGTTCTTCTTTGAGCCAGAGGGCCCACTTGTCCTTCCACAACTTCTGTGGCACTTAATTTTAATTCTTAAATCATCAGACCTCTCTTCCCTTCTTGGATAAATTCCCTAACCATGGTCATTTTGGTAGAAAAGTTAAGGGAAAACAAAGCAGCACATATGCTAAACCTTGTTCATGAATATTAATCTTGATATTTCTGCTGGTGGGATTTTGTGACTTTTTTTTCTTATTGAAACCTACTTAATCAAATTCATGTACACCTCTACCTCGATATAACGCTGTCCTGGGGAGCCAAAAAATTTACCGTGTTATAGGTTAAACCACGTTCTATTGAACTTGTTTTACTGCGTTATATCCAAATTTGTGTTATATCGGGTTGCGTTATATGGGGGTAGAGGTGTAATTCTGGTATGCAAGACCAAATAATGGATGAGACTATCCCAAATAATGTACCACAGCATCAACCACCCTTTCACAGCCATTAAGACAGTCTAATAACAGGAATAATACCCTCTTTCTCATTTACTATCCCCTCCTAAATGCAATCCAGTACAAATGGAACATACTTCCAGGGTCTAGATACTGTGTGACAGGTCTACATTTTTTTTTTTGAGTAAATTTAAAAGCCAGATTGAAAAAGCAGCTGGTGATAGGAATCCTGATTTTTTTTTTTTTTTTTTTTTTTTTTTTTTTTTTTTTTTTTTTTT